TATATGTCACTGAATATAACTGTGTGTTTTCTTCAGACTTCAGTGAAACCGTGGCGTTGGCAAACGCAAAACGACACGACTACAAGAGGAAATCAGGTCAGACCTCAGTGTGTGTGTGTGTGTGTGTGTGATGTACATTTTCCTACCATAATTCAGTGGAGCAGAGGTATTGAAGGGGTGGGGGGTCGCAGCAAAACCAACATATATTGACATTATATTTGTGTTTTTTCCAAGGGCCTTACTTCAAAGAGTACCTGTCCTGGAGTATTAACGAAGACTTTGAACTCGTCATCAAGTGCCAGGTGTGTACTTTCATGTTTTACATATAAAATACATTCCATATATTCCTGGTTCAACGTGGCGTGAGGTCAACCGTTGATGATGTCATCGACGGACTGAGCGACTGGTCGTTTGTTTTGTCGTCTCTCAGGTGACAAACACCAACAAAGACTCCTGTCTGAGCTGGTTTAAAGACGACAGGAAGCTGACCCAGGTGGTCTACGACGGGTCAACGGGGGTCAGCACTCTGACCCTCTCACAGGTAACCACTGCGGTCACACAGTTCGACTGTGTAGTTGATGGAGGTGAAGCCTGACGGTGATGCAGTTTGTCGGTTTGAAACCCAGATTTCGAAGGACGTCTCGGGTTCATACAGAGCTGTGGTGACGGATAAGAGAGGAGAAGACGTCAGCACGCTGCAGCTGCTGGGTGGAGGTGAGGCGGACATCTGTGACAGGAAGTGTGTGTGTGTCTGTGTGTGAACAATAAAACTGAGAGTAAAACTCATTTGATGTTTGTAGCTGAACAACATACGGAACTTAATGTTTTTCCGTTTTGATTTACAGAGTATGACAAGCTTCTCCAGCAGCTCAGCAGACAGTGTGGTGAGTTGGACAGATGATGGCGCTCTTCTTTGATGTGACGATGAGCTGCGTTTTTTTTTTTTTTTCAGATTAGGATGACGGCAGTGATAACAGTGATTTTAATTAACTTTGTTGTGTCAGAGAAACAGAGCAGTGTCTTATCTCTCTGTGTGTGTGTGTGCATTTGTGTGTGTGTGTGTCTCTCGGCAGCCCTGTCAGCTGGTCCACTGAACGTTGACAGCACCGCTGAAGGTTTCAGGCTGTACTGCTCACTTAAAAACAACCTGGGCCAGATAAAGACCAGCTGGTACTTCAGGTGGGTCTGGCTCCATATGTTTGGTTCAGCAGCTGAAGACAAAAAAATGTTAAAAAATGTTGGTTTTTTAACCTTAATTCATGAAATATATTGTTCAGCGTGGTAATAAATAAATCTTCAGTTTCATTGGTTCAGGCCAAAGTCGGTCAGTTTGGATTTGGAAATAAAATCCTCTCTGACGTGTAAATGATAAAAGGACATTAACAGTAGAAGTAGAAGTAAGATTCAATCAAATGTCATTTATTGTCACTATAAGCCACAAGCTGAGCTGAGACCAGAGCTGCATCTTTACCTTTTGTAGCTGTAGCGTCATTAAAAACATTGACGCTTGAACCAGTGTCGTCGGGTTTTTAGTCTTCTAGCACCATCTGCTGGAGAAGAAAAAAATGACAGTTTGAACAGTAAACCTAAAAATAAACCGTTCTTTATTCCAGCTCCCATCATTAGTAGGTTTTGACATAAAAAATGTTGTGTTTTGAATTCGTTTTTTTTTTTAATATTATTGCTGATCTAACAGGAAATAACTGTAAAAACACTGTCTGTAACCAGCACAGTGTGTCCTGGTTAAAGCCTGTAATAGACCAATCAGTTCATGAGGTCAGGGTCAGTTCAGGGGTGACTGTGTGGGTCCCCCCTTTCCCCTCCCCCCCTGCAGGGAGAAGAAGATTGACCAGGAGGTGAGGAGAAACGCTGAGAGCAGCGCAGAGATGGTCTGGATCAACATCTTCAACCCCACAGACAACGACAAAGGAAAATACACCCTGGAGATGTTTGATGGTCTGGAGACCCACAGGAGACACCTGGACCTGAGTGGACAGGGTGGGTGTGGGGGAGCGGGAGGGGGGGTTTGAATGGATATTTAACTTGGTCGTTTTAGGCGCCCTCTAGTGAAACCACAGCGACTTGTCATGTAAATATTTTTTTCCAAGAACTTCCTCTCGTGAAAAACCTTCTAACTTTCATGATCATTTCTCAGACTCTAAATAATCTTGATTTCAACTTCCCACAGTTTTTGCTGATGCTCTGCTGCAGCACCAGACGCTGAAGTAAGTCCTGACACTGAGTCTGAGTCAGTTTATAGACAGACTCGTCTCACCTCCTACTGAGGTCTACTAACTTCACCCCTGTGTTTTCTCCCCTCAGGCAGTCGGCCATTGCTGAAAAAAGTGAGTCATAAATAATGAATAGTCATAATGTTTTTTTTATTATTATTATTTTTATTTTATGTATTTATTTGTTTGGTTTCAGACCGGGCTAAGGTCAGCAGAGGTCTTCCTGATGTGGTTGCCATCAGAGAAGGAAAGGTATGTCATTGTCAAGGAATCCTGTCAATTCAAATAGTGGTGTGAGGACCACAGGTGGTACAGGCACAACCTCAGAGTGGCCCAGTTCGCCCTCATTTAGGAAAATCTGAGAGAAACTGAGTGAATTATTATTTAGTGAGTTAAGAAAAAAAATCAATATATAATATCAATAATAATTTCAAATATCATCCTACCAATAGTATCGTTGTTATCGTGATTCTGTACAATACACAGCCCTAACGTGAAACCTGTTCCAGCATGAACCACAGTTTGACTCTTCCTCCTCCTCTTCCTCCTCAGTCTCTGTGTCTGACCTGCTTCATCGAAGGAGAACCAGCTCCTCAGATCTCCTGGCTCCGTAACGACAAGGAGGTCGTTGACCCGGTCCAGTTCACCATCACCAAAGAGGCCAAACGCAGCACCATCACCATCAACAACGTCAGCCTGCAGGACTCAGGGAAGTACAGCATCTTCGTACGCAACACCTACGGCTGTGAGACGGCCAGTGTGACGGTGAGCGTGTACCGACACGGAGAGAAACCTCCGGCAAACGCGGTGGAGATGGGCTTTTAGGAGATCGGGTCTGAGAGCGTGTGAAGATGGAGGTCGGGGTTTTATTTCACTTTGAAGGTGAAGTTTGTGCTTTTGTTCATTTTATTTTGGGTTTGTCAGTATTAAGCATGGAACGTCCCTTTCCTCGCCTGTAGGTGGTGCTAGATTAACATTTGAAAGCCTCGTTTTAATGATATGCTAGTGAACAGTGAGTTTACGTATTAATGAGGAGGACATGGAGGATGCTGGTCACTGATTGGTCACTGGCTGTAAGGGACGCACACCAATAAAGACATGTAGCATGTCGTCGGTGCGCTAACAAGCAGAGTGTTTTTGCTGTGTTAGCAACAGGATGTAGCAAGTAAGGGGTCTAGGTGTGGTGTGTTACTGCGTGTTAGCACTGTGCTAACAGGACGCATTTTATTTTGAAGTGATTGGTGTTAACGTTAGTCTTTACTGAGGCAAGGCTAGGCTAGTCCTGTTAACACCCTTAGCTTAGCTTCTTTCTTGGGCTTGACATGCAAAAAATAATTTTGTGAGTTGAATTACTGCCACCTACTGGGTGTATTTTACACTGGTAAATATTTCCTGTAGAAGACGCAGAACATTTATAACTGGCTAAAGGTTCTCTGGGTTGTTCTGTAGCTAGCCTGTGCACAGAAGGGCTTTAAAGGGTTAACATTTTAAATGATTGAAAGTCATGTGACTGAACGGATGTGGCAGAGTTTTCTTTTCTTTTTTAATCAACAGTTTCTGCATCTTTTGTAAAAAGTCCAGACTTCCTGCTCAGACTGTAACTGAGCGTTGAGTCACATGACGGTTGTGTCAACTTTGATTGATCAATTCAAACACAGTTTGGAGGTTTGTGCGGCTCCTCAACAGCAACACGACGTTAGCAACATTAAAAAAAGATGATTCAACGTTTCACGTCACTGTGATGTTTTTATTCCTAACCCTCGGGCTAACGGTCGACTACGGTTGTTTGTTCAGCGAGCGCTCGCTCTAACGACCAGACCTCGTCGCAGGCCTGTGCACCAGAGGTCAGTGTTGATGGTTCTTTCAGGCAGAGATCAGTTCTCGTACCTTTGGCATCAAACAGTCCACGGTGTCATCGACCCTGGTCGGTCACAGGGTCCGTCCACACACTGAGGGAGACAAAGACCAGACCTGGGGAAAAAAAAAAGTGGTGATGAAAGTGGATGTGCCGCGTAAAAAAGTGGTGATGAAAGTGGATGTGCATCCCGCGTCCCCCGCCCCCCGGCTTTATATGTTGTATAACATGGTGTTAAAAACGTTAAAAACTGCCGTTAAAGTTCAAACTGTTTGTGTTCATGCCGATAATTCTAAACTTATCAAATAATAATGTGATTTTGAAAGAGTTTAAATGGGGGGGGGGGTTCTGACAGACCTCCTGTTACAGACCTCAGGTCTACAGTCCAGTCTTCTCTCAAGGAACAAACATTCAACGGCAATTCATAAAAGGTCGACGACTTTTAAAAATGTTAAATGAAAAAAAAATCGAGTTTGTCTGGAGCAGGTTCACTTTTTTAACCCATAAAAAATTCCATTAATACATGAATTTAAGTGGGAGGGGGTGGGGGGGGGTCACCCCACCTCCCAGCTCTGGTGTCTCTCCATCAGATTCATTCTGAAAACTAAACAAATTTGAATCCTACAATAAAATCAGACTCTTTTTTTTTTTCATCAGACATGTGACAACCAAATGGGGGTGGGGTGGGGGGGGCAGGGGGTTGGCTCACGCAGGTGTAAGTGAACTCTGGGTTGTTCAAACAGCAGCAGCCACATTGTCACGTCGTTACTTACGTGTACGTTGTACTGCAGTACTTTCCCATATAAATAGCTCGGGGGCCGTCGCTGTCGTTCTCCACTTTGTGTTGAGCTTCACACAGTCGACCTCAGCCTCCAGACCAGTGTGGTGAAGGAGATCCCAGAGCATCCAGGAGAAAACATGGACTTCAACGGAACATGGCAGGTTTACTCCCAGGAGAACTACGAGGAGTTCCTCAGGACCATGGGTGAGGAAACTCTCGAACTCTCCTCCCCCCTCTGAGTGTCAGTCTGACCTGGTTGTAGGGAGTTTGAATTCTCTGACCTCATTTCCAACAGAGCTTCCAGAAGACGTCATCAAGATGGCCAAGGACATCAAACCAGTGACGGAGATCAAGCAGAACGGCAACGACTTTGTGATCACCTCCAAGACGCCTGGGAAGACTGTGACCAACGCCTTTACCATCGGCAAGGAGGCCGAAATCACCACCATGGACGGCAAGAAGCTCAAGGTTTGTCCCTCTCTCCCCCCACACCCCCACCCTCCCTGGAAAGGTCCAAGTGATAGAAGATGATGTTCAATAATTAATGTTTAATTGACTTTAGTTTAATTGTAATTGTTTAAGTATAAATATTATTGGTCAAAGCATGAAAATCGCTCTATAAATAAATTAATATTAAATATTTTATTATTCGTGTTTTCAGTTTCATACAGTTTCCCATTATGCTGATTATTATTATTTCTATTTTAAGTAAAAAAGGTAAAAAGAAAAAATATTTGTATATACATATATTTTTTATTTTTATTGTACTTGATTTACTTTGTCTCCTCCTCTAATTCCCAGTGCACTGTCAACATGGAGAATGGCAAAATGGTCTGTAATACCGGAAAGTTCTCCCACATCCAGGAGCTGAAGGGAGGAGAAATGATCGAGGTGACTTTCACACACACACACACACATCACTAAAAATTAAATAAAAAAAATTAAAATATCAGATTAAATATATTTGTTGTGACACGTTGGTATCTCCCTCCCTCTGTCAGACACTGACCATGGGCTCGACATCTCTGATCAGGAGGAGCAGGAAGATGTAAACTCGGCCGTGAAGAAGCCGAAGTCTATTTAAATAAAAGATTTTCCCTAAAAAGAAATTCTCACTTTTGACTGTGTCACTTTTCTTTGACGTGACTTTTACATTTACAACATTTACGGCAACAAAGTCTACAGTATTTTTTACTGTGATATTTTTTACATGGATGTACAGAGACCCCTAGTGGTGGTTCGTGTGTATGAGACATGAACCCTTTTATAATCCTTTATTTACTACGTTCCATACTATAAACACTGCTACGGTGCCCCTAAAGGGACACAGGAGAAAATAAATAAATAAACGTTTCTGGTGCGCACGTAAAACATTTATTTATTTTATTTATATATTTCCTCCGTGTTCAGTTAAGGGCTCCGTTATAAAATGATTTAAAATGTATCGTAAAAATTAACACATAGATTAACACGTTGTCTTAACGCGCTGGTCATTGTGGTGATTGTTTTCATACTCCCCCGCCCTTCCCATACAATGGACTATTCCATCTTACTGCGCATGTGCAGTTGGAATTCTGGAAGACGGTAGCAAAACAAACTGTTTGGCGCGGTGTGGGAAAAAACGAAGTGAATTTATTCAGTTATAGCTGTGAAGATGGAGAGAAAACTGAGAGTTTTATCAAAACAAGAAAAGATTTCGTGACTTATTTTCACAACGATGCGAAACGTGACATAGAACTGTAGCCTTTACTGTTGTTGGAGCTCTGGACGGACTGATGATGGAGAAGCCGGACAGAAGGACTGTCAACACCGGTGAGTTTAAACTAGCGTTCACCGTTACTTTAGTCAATATTGAAGTCATGATTATTTAACGCGTCTAATACCTGACTCTGAAACCGTTGTATTGATTACGTATAAGAAACAGAAAATATATAAAACTGTTAAGTAACGTAAATAGTTCACTTCCGGAATTGACTAAATAATTTAAATAAAATGTAATACAATGGAATTTTAATGGAATATAATATGACCCAAAATAATGGATTATAAATGAAATATAGAGTGAAACGGTAAAACCAGATTTAATGACTTTCTGGGGTACACACTCCAGCCCGTAGGTGGCAGTCGTGTTACTGAAGTTAGCTTGCCCGTTGCAAATTAAGTATAGACCATATACCTGCTGTATAAATATTGAAGTAAAAAATATATGTTGATTATAATTATACCTGCTGTATAAATATTGAAGTAAAACATACATGTTGATTATAATTATCTTGTGTATATATATATACAATGCCAATTAATTAATTACAACTCATTTAACTGATGTAATAAACTAGAAAGTTACTGGAAGCTGTGTTGTTGTTGTCAGGTAAAAACCAGTTGTTCCGGTGTGAGTTAATGCCTGTTCTTTTTTTAATCCTATCACACACACAATGACAAGACTAATCTCAGGACAAACTGTTCTGAGATTAGTCGGTGTCAGCCAAACCCCAAAAAAACAAAAACATTCTCTTCTTTTAATGTTTTGTACGTTCCTCGTGTGTCAACAGCCCTGGTCATTAAAACGGCAGGTAACAATCATTCAACTCAAGTTATTACATAATTTGGCTTCTGAATCTCAGCTTTCACATTTACAAGGACTTTTCATCCTATGAGGCTTCTGAATCTCAGCTTTCACATTTATAAGGACTTTTCATCCTGGGTGTGAACTGAGCAAGATAAATGTATAATTATTTATAAGATATTACGACGGTTAACTGAAAAGATGATATAAAAGTTAAAATCTCAGTGAAAATATCTAGGAGCTTTTTAGCATTAATAAAATCAAAAAGAGACAGAAACAGAAAGTAGGGGGGGACAAGGAAAGGAATTTATTTTTTTCGGTTAAAATCTCATCAATTCAACAGTTCATACATTGTATTTTTCAAACCAATTAAGTGAAGTGGGGCCGTTTTCTTTTCTCACCGTCTTTAGTGACATCGTAACAGAGGGACAAATTCAAAGCCAATTCTTTACAAGTTTCCAAATTCAGAGGTGACGGTGCCGTACAAGGCTGTGAACAAATAAAACAAATGCACCGAGACCACATCCAGTTGACGGCTGGCGGAAGAACAGTCGTCAAGTGGAAGTGGTGCCGATGCAAACATTTGGCCATTTTTTTCGTGAAGTTTAAAAGTTTGTTTTAGCACAGGGTACAACCAAATTTTTTTTTTTTAAAAACATCACGCTTACAAACTGTAAGCACTCAGAACTCAATCCTTACATATGCAACTCTCCCAAAGATGTCAAATGTGTTGCAGTCTTTCCTAATGTGCCCTTAGCATCTTTTCCCCTACACTGCATATTACAAAACAATAAAAACATGTGCAAGATCTCTGGAAAGTCAACAGTGCAGGGTACTTCCAAATGCTAAAGGCAGATTTTTTTTTTTTAACAAAAATATTCTTCAGTATTGAAGTCAAGACACGACCTCTGCATGTCTATACATTCAGTGTTATTACTAAAAATACTTTTGTCAGGCAGACCTGAAACAGTCTGCAAATGTACATATGCTACAAGTACTTTTTACATTTCATTATTTACATGGCTCTTAAACACAACCTCCTAAAATTGTTTTGTCGTCTTAAGGCTGGCCATAAACAGGTCCAATTCTGCAAAGGGAAAGTAGATAATCCGCCTAGAGATAGTCATGAACGCCACGTTTTCTATTCATCCTGGTCTGTAACGCAAATCAAAACTGAAAAATTGTCTAATTGCAGTGCAACAAGTTTAAACCAGAGGCCGTGGCAGCAAGTGCCTGCTGATTATGGGGTGCTCTAAAAGAAACCCATCGTTCTGTAAACAAACACCAACCCTCCCGCCTCCTGATACGTCTTTACTGCCCCGTCACTTTAGGAACCGTCCTCAGCTCGACCTAACCCTGCTTGTAAATGTCTGTAGCCAACAGGACCTTGGTGTGACTTTGGGGGGGAAAAAAACCCAAACATTTTCCCTCAACTCAGCCAAGTCCTCTTCCGCATATTAAAGCTACAACACATTCAAGAATAGACCGAGACCTGAGGAGGATCAACAGTGCTGTGTGGAATCAGTGACCCTGGGGAACTCCAACCCATTCACCACTCTCTCCATGTCGACGTGGCAGTGACAAAAATGCCAAAAAGTCACAAAAATGCTTTGGTTACACAACATCTCAACCATAACAAAAAGGAACTGTACAAAACAATTTCAATCATGACAGTGTGTTATGGGCCCAGGACAAACCCACCTCCTATAGTGCATATGCGCACAGCGCAATAAAAAGGGTACAGGAGATGAGCCCCCCCGGCCCGTGTGCTATGGTCTATAATTACCCTTCAGCATGGGCTTCATTGACCTGTCTTTACTGGCTACAGCTGTAATCTTCATTAAGATCATATTTCCCTGCAGAATTGCAGCTGAAGTTTTTTTTAAACCCAAACAAGGAATGAAACCTAAAAGGTACATGTCAATAAAAACAAACAAAAACTCCTCTCTCCACAACAACGGACCATAAAAACGATGGAAACCTCCCTACCTGTGATGAGCCTTTGTTTGGGAAAAAAAAACTTCACCCACTGTTTTCACAGCCAACTTAGAAAAGAACAAAACAAAATGACAAAAGAATATCCAGTTTATCGTTAATCACAGACTCCGTTGGAGAAATCACCAACCAATAAGGCTGCAGTGCTGTAAAAGCGCGTCTTGCTGTGGGTTAAGATTTAAAATGTTGGAAAATAGTGTCTTGAATTTATGGAACAGAAACTTAAAAAATGAATTTGGTGACAACCTGTAATAATCTGGTACTAACTACAGCACTGCAGCTTTCCTGGTCGACTGACAACTTCAAGAGGAGAACCAGCTTAGGCATCGTCTTGTTAAAGGATCTCGTGTGATACTTCTCAGGCCTGTACTTTGAGGAGGCTCTTGAGCTGGAAGGCCATCATCTCCCGGTTATCACAGGAACCCATCGGGAAAGACACCCAGTGACTGGGCGGTTTGGGCAACACGCTGGGCGAGGGTGGCTCGCTGAATTTAGGCCCGGCGTAGCTTGGACTTCCCTGGGCGGCAAGCAGTGTGTTCAGGTGAGACACCGCACCCCCCCAGTCCTGATCATAGTTGGTGGCAAAACGGACAGAAGCCTTCTTCTCTGCAGACGCGGCCTGCCACGCCTCAGGCGACCTGTGGTGGGCCATGCCCTTGTCGCCCCGGCGATGGTTAATATGGTGTAGACCTCCTGCAGACGCTGCTGCTGCGGTTGTTGTTCCATTCTGGTCACGGCTTCTCTGCTTAGCCCGGCCCAGCTGATGGTTCTTCTTTGGAAGCGGGCGCTCTGTGTTGGAAGCTGGAATGTTGTACCTTTCTCCACCGCCCATAATGCTTTTATACTGTGTGTCACCTACATAATAATGAAAACATGTCATTAACTGCGTGCTATTGTAATGCAGAGATGTGTGCCATCTGCAGATGGTACACTGTGCCATGGGTGATCGGACTTTACGCAACAGCAGAGGGCTACGTGCAGAGAGACCAGACAGTGCAGAGCGGCCCCTCCCCCATCCACACAGCCTTGAGAAAAACACGGCCGACCCTCTCACCTCTTTGTTGTCAAAAAGTTGGTTGAGCAGGAGTCCTCCTTTAAACGTTCACCTCCGATGGGGCCCCAGGTCCTCGAAGTAGTTTTCTGTCTACTTCTCACTGCACTTATGTGTCCAGCAGGGTCTGAGGTTTTCATGTGCCAATGAGCGTTGTTTACTCGTGCAGCCGAGCTGAACATCAACTCACCTCGGCTCACGGTGCTCCAAGAAGCCTCAAAACTAAAGAAAGAAAAACGATTCTTATCATTTTTCCGTCTCAAACAGACCATTTAGCAAATATTTAATGTCGGTGTTTTTCTTTTCAAAGTGCGTCATCACATCGTAATCCGCAATTAGGTTAAAATACTTTCAATTTATAAACACAAAACTCGCTTATTACTGACGCACTTCACAAGTTCGCAGTATTGTAACTAAAAAATCGCGGCTGTGACGCAGTACTACCACCAGAGATAATTATAATACTGTAATGTCGGTGGTAAAGTCGGTGGTGTGTTATTACGTGCACGACATCGTATCATAAATAGTGTTTGCTTATGATATCGAATAATAATCACATATAGAAAGATTTGTCGAAATAGGTCACTCGCCTTTGGCAAGAAACCAAAACAAAGAAAGGCTGCGCTCAATATGGCGACGAGAGACGAATGACGGTGGCTCTTACCGACTTCTTCAGATTTGGTGGTGAACGCCGCTCCGCCGGAGAAACCGCGACAATCAGATGGAAAATGTGTCGCCAGGGACACCAGGGGAAAAAAAGCAAGTTATAATCCCAACAAACTCGTCTTCCTCGACGAGTGAATTATGATGAGTAGAATTTGCCGTGTGGAGAAGACAATTCTCCCTCTGTCCGCCAGAATTGCAACAAAATGGAATCTACGACAGGGCTATGTAGCTCGCCCTAGCCCAGATCTGACCAATCAGATGCGAGGTGCTAACCGAACAACCAATCAACGAAGACACGGACAAACGCGTCCACGCCTGTTGCCAGACCGATGACGTCAATGGCGGAACTAAACCCCCCTCTCCTTTGTTGGGGTATTTCCTAAGATGTTAGAAAAGAAGACGAAAACAACGAGTTTCGACCAATAATGACTCGAATCTGTTTTTAACTTAGCGTTTACCGAACTTACATTCGACGCGTATCTTCGACGGTGTAGGTTCGCTGTTACGCAATATCACTAACCTTCAATAGAAGTAAATTAACGCAATCCACAGCCTTTAACTTTTTTTATATCTGTGTTGGATTTTGTCAAGGTTTTTTTTGTTGTTGGTTTTTTGTAGTTGTCTGTTTTGTTAACAGTCGAAGAACAGCTGCAACAGGCTGTGGTTCACAACAACGTTTGTCTGTGAACAGCCCTGCCCCCATCCTCACACTTCCTTACCGATAAAACCACCACCCAACCCTTTACTGAAACCGTTCTCTGGGCACTCGACTCACATTTTTCATATACATTTTTTGAAGTATGTTCAAACATATACACTCCAGTCGTAGTTTTACGTGTTTATCATGTATATAGTATAGTATGTAGTGTATTGTTTTGTTATTTTTGATGGAGTTCCAACAAAAACAGTACAGTAAGCCCTGGTTCTGTTGTGACCAACAGCAGAGCTTATATATAAAGTAGTCAGAATAGGTGTACCTGGGTTATAATAAAGACACAAGATATTTACCAATGTAAAAATTCGAGAGAGATGCGGAGATAAATAAGTAAAAAAAAGGTAAATGTAAACATTAAGGCCTCACAAACATCTTAAACTACAACATTCTTGAAGACGTTGTACACAAATATTGTAGTGTTTGTTTAGTTTTGTCATCAAAGCCTCAGAGTAAAAGTAAAATGTGTCGAAGAATGCTCTACTTTGTCTGAGGTGAAGGTAGAGTGATGAGGCTATTAGTAAAATGTGTCGAAGAATGCTCTACTGTGTCTGAGGTGAAGGTAGAGTGATGTAACATTTTCATGATTTTAGGAAGTTTGAGGCTATCGTTGCTCATCTCGACACCAGTTCTTCAAACTTCCTTATATTCATGAAAATTGTACATTTTTACTCAAATAAATTTGCTGCTCTGGCGTTTTTTAAATTCCAACGTCACACGTTACACGGAGTTACTTGTTGTTAACAACTATGAGCCATTAATTCCAAACAAAGTCCACTGTCAATGTTACCTTCTCCTGTATCAGTGTAAGGAGTGACACAACAAGGCAAACTCTACACGTCAGCCAATGGTCTCAGCTGAAGGCCATGGGAGGACACTCCCCACAGCAGCTCTTCTGGAGGGGGGGCCGGACCTGTTTAAAGTCAACTATGTATGGAAAGTAGGTCACACAGACGTCTGACATATATCTCCTTATATGACCGGTCTGATAGACATAAAATATAAACACAGTGATTGTAAATATGAAGGCCTCCTGTGGAAATGGATCCTAATGTTGACGAAATCACTGATAGTTTGTTAGTTTCTTCTGTTTACAACAGTCACTTTAATAGTAAAAAAAAACCCACACATGTGCAGAGCCAAATATACAAATATCATTTTAGAATATGTCAGGATTTGAATCTAAAGAGTTGAATAAAAATATATAAATAAATACAAAAAAAACTTTTATTGTTTCCCAGAAACAAATGGTCCAGAGCAGATGGTTGGAGACCCCTTTTTAAGCACAGTTTTTTAGTACGTTTTATTACAGCACTCAGTCTTTATGGTGGAGCCCTGACAGTTTCGACTCACGTCGATCAGATTCTACTGCCCTCTCCTGGCCACTGCTGTCTTTACATCACGCCTCAGACACTGGGCCTTTCTCATGTTTTCTGTTGTTGCTTTTTTGGTTCATTTAAATATACATTTTGAGTTGTTGTCACTTTGGGTTTTTCTGTCTACAACTCCGAGAGTATCAATGAATCATTTTACATCCAGGAATTTCATTTTATTTTGTGTGTATTTTTTGTTGTTCTGTAAATGAGGGAGAGTCTGATTGATGGTTTCTACCTAATACCTTTTAAGACAACGCGATTGACTGTTGTGTTGTGATTTGATTTCATGCTGAAACTGTGCTGTGTAACAGTGTGACGCAACAATAGTAATTGGCGGTTTTCAATCTGCTTGTTTTTTTTCCCCTGTTGTTTTGTCTGTTGTGTTTCACCTCGACAGGCAGTGACAAGAAGAAAATCACATTGAAGCTGCACAGTCTGCTGGTAATCATATCTCCCGACTCCTGGCCGACTGAACCTGTTGCAGTAAAAAAAACAACAAAGACCCTGCAGCCCCAGTCTGAGGAGGTTGATGTGTTTACTGTCCATTCAAAAATCAAATCTGTATGCTGCAGCAAAAAAAATAGTTTGTTATATTTTTCTTGTTCCATTTACTGCCACTCTGCTGTTTCTAAATTGAAAGTCTAAAATAGATTCTTAATTTGTTCTCCAATGCCCTGAGAATGTAGACTGTGACCTGGTTTTACTGGTAAACCAACAATGTTCATGTTGATATAATTGCAAATTTGGAGTTTTTGAAAAAAACGAAATTACATTTAGGGTGAGGGGGGGTGAGCCATGAACACCTGAGGGCAAAATGTTCCTCTTCACAGTAACCAAGGATCGGTTCTGGACCGCCTGATGTCCTCCTATAACCTTCCCGTCTAAGTATCGTCCAATCAAATACATTCAAACAAAAATACACAACACAACAGAAGTCTGTGGCTCAATCAGAGGTCCGGGGAGCAGAAAAAGTAGCAGGTGGTCAAGGCCCTGGCCAACCCCAGTGAAGGCCTGTGTAACTGTATTTTAAAGACATCCTTGTACTGCGAGTACTCCGGGAGAAAAATATTTTTGGAGCTGGTATGTGTTGTAAAAAGTAGTTAAGTAAAGTATTTAACAGGCTAAAAAAAAAAAAACTGTCATCAGTGCAACTGGGTAATTCTCCGTTTCAACACCAGTGGTGAATATTGCCCCTCCTCTCTCTCTCTTTCTCTCTCTCTCTCCCTCTCTCTCTCACCCTTCTACTTATGTCTAGTCTCCGCTCTGATCATGCAGCTGCACTGTGGGTAAACAGACGACAGGAACTAAGGCCACAGGACAGCAGACAGGTACTTGAAGTTGCAAATAATTTGAGGTAAGTTTTATTATTTGTTTGTTGTGTATATTTGTTTTAATAACATAAACAAATACATATGTATTACTGTAGTATCGTTAGCTGTGACTGGAGGAGTTGGTGATATTTTAAAATCCTCTGGCAGGCTACCAGCCGTTGCTTCATCCATTTGTACATCAACCAGTGGTGACAGACAGAAATGTCTGTTCTGTTTTGGTGTTCACTGTGAACAATGTTGCTGCTAGTTTGATTTCTTAAAAAAAAAAGCATTCTTCTGAGATTAAGGTTGCATGGATTTTAAGATTCAAATCAAAAAGTCTGTCAATCAACCAAAAAAAAAAACCCAAACAATTTGAAACATTTTGTCTACAGTAAATAAACCTGGTCCTGGATGAAAAAAATATATGCTGTGAATTTAAGCTGTGAATTTATCCACTGTTGGACAAACAAAGAACTTAATAAGATTAAACAACATTTATTTATATTTTCAGCTGAATTTCTAAAGCAATGAACACACTCAACAGTTAAAAAAAACTTTAAAAAGAAATTTATATTATAGTGTTGTACAGATTCATCATTACTTTATTCCAGTCTTTATTCCAGTTTTGAACTACTGTAACTATTCCTCGTTCCTAAGTTGCCTCTGTGTGAACCAATACCAATTCCAGCAGATTCCAGCAGTGGTCGTTATTCCTTAATCTTGGAACATAATCCTACTATGGATTATAATCTATTAATTGCATACAGATGATGCACACTCTTCAGATTGTTCGACTCGGTGATGACCTTTAACGTCTCATTAATCAAACATCGCGACCTCATTTACGTCGAGTGCCAATAGAGGGCAGTATCCCTCCAATAGGATAATCGCTAAATGCAGAGTGAAATTATTGATGTGGTTTTTAAACCTCGGAGAAGCCGTGTTGACGAAAAAAAACTTAACAATATTTTGATTATATTTTCAGATGTTATGAAATATGTATGTTTATTTAAATTGCTAATTAAAAAAGAGAAGTCATTCAGTGTAGTAAGGTTACGATGTATTTTTGGAAAGGGGAAATTAAAGACTAAATTAAATGTGTGATGTGAAACACCTGAACACAACATTTGCCGTAATGCAGCTATAGCCAGCCACATCCGGTGCATCTTAATCTACCCGGCACTTTGTCACGATCATCAACTGATGTCTGAACGATCACTGTGTGTTTGCTCTCACCTCTAAATGACTCTCTGCCCAAACTAATGGATGTTGATGATCTTTTAAAGCCTGATGTTCAATATTGACAGAGATCTTCTGGGTGTCTGCTCAATCACGTTGTTCACATCCCGACGTAAAGACTCGTTCTGTAATAAATACCAGTCCAAAGGTTTTGAGGAAAATTAAAAAAACAACGTGATTTTAGGACTGAAATCCACTTTCAGTTTAAAAAATATATGTGAGATGTGGTTTTGAAGATGTTTCGTGTTTTATTTTCCTGCTCTCTGTTTTAGCTGTGAGATAATATGGAAGAACCTGAGTTTTCTACCACTCTGGGATCCACAGAGTCCCAGGAGAGATCAACGCTGACAGGTATCTTTGTTTGGTTCCCACCCTCTGCAGAATGACGTTTATAAACATTTATTTCTTTTTTTAAACTACAGTTGGATGTCGAGATGCCAGGTCACAGGTCAAGTCTTCATTGTGTGTGTTTGCCCTTGAAGCTAACAGGTGCTGGGAGAACCTTGAGTGCTACATGGTCCTGATGAAGGCGGAGAGGACGGCGATCGGTTCCATCTGTTTCCTGGCGGGTCCCGTCACCCTGCTGGAGAACACTCTGGTGTTGGCGGTGATCATGGCCACCGCCTCCCTGCGCCAACGGCCCTCCTACCTCTTCATCGGCAGCATCGCTCTGGCGGATATCTTCGCCAGCTGCTTCTTCACAATCAGCTTCCTGGACTTTCACCTCTTCAGTCGCAGCGACGGCCCCACTGCCTACCTCTTCAAGCTAGGTGGCGTCACCATGGCCTTCAGCAGTTCAGTGGGAAGCCTTCTGCTGACGGCACTTGATCGCTATCTCTGCATCTACCAGGCGTCCACCTACAAGGTGATGCTGACCAGACAGAGGGCGCTGCTGAGCCTGCTGTTCCTCTGGAGTGCCACAATCTTCATCGCTTTCTTGCCTTTAATGGGCTGGAGGTGTCCCACCGGCCTGGCCCCGCCCTGTTCACGCCTGTTCCCCTACATCAACAGGAGCTACCTGGCCTGCTGGACAACTTTCATCCTGGTGTTACTGGCTCTGATTCTGGCGGCCTACGCTCTCATCCTGTGGAAAGCTCATTGTCACGAGTCCTTCATGACCAGTCTGCGGGAAACAGCGGCGACCGGCCACAACCGCATGAGGATGGACATCCGACTCGCTCGGACCTTTGGCCTCATCCTTGTAATCCTGGTGGGCTGCTGGCTGCCGGCACTTTCTTTCATGATAGCTGACGTCTGTGTCACCCTGACACATATGCAGCAGAGAGCGTTTGCCTTTTGCAGCACGCTGTGTCTGGTTAACTCCGCCATCAACCCAATGCTATATGCCCTGCGCTGCAGAGAGCTGAAGGTGGCGCTGCTGCAGCTACTACAACGGCTGTGCGAGAGTGGGAAGTGTAAAACTAAGGAAAACCTAACCCCAACGCTGCCCTCTGCAGACGACGACAACTTCACTGCCATGTTTGAAGAAGAGCAGCAACGGTCCAGAGACACCAGACTGAACTCCATCTCTGAAATAGTTGACAATGAGCATCCGGAGTTCAGGAAATGAAGAACCTGAAGCTGGCCAGATGGACAGGGTTAATCCAATGTTTAAAAATGGCCAGATGGACAGGGTTAATCCAATGTTGGTCTTTAAAATTTTAATCAGTTTTAGTGAAATCTAACAATGCTACAGCTAGCCTACTGTCCTGTCCATCAGTGGTCCCAGACCTGCTTTGTATTTGTAAGGCCTGGTCGACCGGTACCGGTCAGTACCATGGACCCGAGTATTGTTAAGAGTCAGTAACTTTTCAAAATAAAAGCTCTTTTAGGTCTTTACTCAACACTGAAGTCTGAAGACACGTTATTTTGAGAAATTCCAGATTATCCTTAAATAAAGAAAGTAAATATAAATGACAGATTTTCTCTTTAAATGATGTACATTATTAATTCTTTCACAGTCCACTGAGGCCTGGAACCAAATGACCCACGGACCAGTACCCCTGCATGGACCCGGGGTTGAGAACCCCTGCTGTACATAGTTTACTTTGTGAACAAAACTACTGTAGAAGCAGAGTGTATGTAAATAAAAATGATTAGGCTTCGCAAATGGTTTGCTGTGTTTATTATTGTGTCATTGAATCAATTCTCAAAACTCTAGCACCAAATATGCTAAAAGCAATATAGCTTATGTAGTTTATAGATTAAAACCAATCTTTTTTTGTTATTGTTATATATGTGACCTAATTTAGATGTTCATGTTTTAAATTTAAGTGCTCTGTTTTGTGAACTTCGGGTAACTCCTCTTTGGTTAATTAGAAAATTAAATACAAGTCACTGGGACGAGATTTTTCTACGAGCTATCAAAGCTCAACGAGCACTTTGATGCTGCGGGACTTTATTCCGGGGGGACGCTGATGCTGACACCGCCTGGTGTGCACAGAGTCCCGGAGGACGATACACGTTAACAGGTCTTAGATGAACAATAACAATCGTCGTTGAGATGCATTGTCCCAGTGTTTCCAGTTTAGCTGACCACCACCACCACCACCACCAGACGTCTCGTGAACCTTACAGTTTGAGTTCAACGGAAATCGATGAAATCAACAACAGGGGTGGCCGAGGGGACAATGCATCCTGAAGACAGTAAAGGTGAACACGGAAGAAGAAAAATGTGATCGTGTTCTTTTTGTACGTTCTATTTTAAAGCATGACTTTGATGGTTATAATTGATTTTGATTCGATTTTGAAAGAAAATAAACGACGGCAGACGTGTAACACCCCCATCTGCCGCCTAATGGTACGGTCTGCTCTTCTGACGTTTTAAAAATTCAGCAGGCTGCCTTATCGGTTCGCTCTGTGCTTAGAGAAGAAAATCCGTTGTTGTGAAGAGGAAGAAAGACGCCAGACACTCGGGGAAACGAAAACCATTTGAGTGCGACTTTTAAAACCCCATTTTTGCGGGTCGTTGTTTTTCCAACATTCTCTGTTTCCTGGTTTTGTCCAGCTAAAATGGCTTGTGGAGCAACATTAAAGCGGTCGATGGAGTTCGAGGCCCTCCTCAGTCCTCAGTCTCCAAAGCGGCGACGCTGCAATCCACTACCGGGGACTCCTGGCACTCCGTCCCCGCAAAGATGCAGCCTCCGTCCCCCGGTTGACAGCCCTTCGCATTCGATGTCGCCTCCAGCCATAGGTGGCGAACACAGGCTTACACCAGGTATGGAATTAGTCTAAATTTTGACGTTTTTGCGTTTAGGGTGGGTGTCATGGGGGATGGGGGTTAGGGTGGAGTGGAATGGAATGGATAGGATAGCTAGTTCTCAGATAATGAGAATGGGGGTTGGAGGCTAACGTTAGCCGGGCTAGGCTAACGCCAGGAAGAGGATTGTTACAGAATTGCCAACGAATATAATTTCACCCGGTATGAAATCAGTTGACGCACAACATGGTGCTGTCATTGTTGGTATGTTTTTTTCAGCATCGTGTCATCTTTTTATACTTAAGTGCGTAGTCTGGTGAGTTAGCTCACTCCAGCTAATGCTAATTTGTTAATTGCAGTGTTGACGTGTTTTAATGTATCCCCTCATTCGGTTAGACCCGATACTACTTACATCGAGAAAAAGAAAAAAACCGATATACGGTGGCCGTTGTATCGGCTAAACTCGGAGCAGTTGTAGCTGTTGTGGTGGTTGTTATGGATAATTCTTCATATTCATTAAAAATGACAACAAACATTTGTACAGTAACAGAGTCAAACAATAGAACTCATCCATGCGTTTGAGACTTGGGCGACAAACTACATCCTGTTGGCTCTGCTGGCATCACGGCGGCGGGATCCCATCAGTGTTGGCTGCTAACTGGCTAATTCACCGATGCTCCAGTGCGACAGTGGTCTCGGACTTGGGGGGGTGGGTGGGTTACCATTCTGCACCATAACCACTTAGGTTCCCCGGAGTGATGGAAGGCATTGTTCGTTTTCTTTTACAGCCACGATTTTTAATGCAGCTCTGCGGTGACTAATTGATGGTGTGGGGTGGACCAGCAGATAATTATCTGGAGGACTCCGCTCCCATACAGGAGCCCTGCTGTACGGTGTTGGAGGCTCAGTATTAGCAGCATTAGTGATGCTTTACAAGAATGTAATGGCACTATTATTTTTTACATTCTTCTTTGTTTTTATTCAGCACATCTAAACCTGACACTTTTAGTCATACCTCTTACATATTTCATAGTATTCTTAGCATTTTTGCAATTCAACTGTAACCCCAACATTGTTCCCCCCCCCCCTCCTGGGGGAGCATTAAAGTGTTACTGCTTCTGATGAGTTACGTCCCCCCAATGCACCTCTGGCTTAAATGTAGGGTTTAACCTTTTTAACAACTTCACTGCCTGTGAATAAAGACAATGACACTGCACTGTCTCTCTCTTTGTCTGTGACTTCAACACCAAGATATTTGAATTGACAAAATCCCCACCATGTTGTTTCTGAGCTTCCAGTATTGTGTAGAGAAACCTCACGGTACCTGTGGAAAAAGAAAGTGAAATAAAATCTGTGAACACTCTCACGCACAGACAACACCGTCACACAGTTGGTTATGATATAAATCTCCTTCATCTTTTTACCTGGAGTCGTGTCAACACACTGTGTGTTCCTGCTGCCATGGCTGAATAACAGCGCGGTGGATTACTGTGCTGCAGACATGAGGTCCAGATACCTGGTATTTCACTCACCTTCACTCAGAAAGAGGCCCCGCTAGGGAGCAGTGCCGCGGGTCGGACATTTCTGCTGCGCTTGAGAATGTAGTTTTGTTTTCAGCAAAAGGTCAGTTGTCAGATCTGCTGCTAACGTACACCCCCATGTTTCAAAAACCGGTCAGGTTTGTGTGTTTTGTTAGCCAGGTTCAGGTGTGACAAAACACTTTTTTTTTTTGTTTTGGCTGCCAGTTTGGACTTTATGGTTGTAGTTAAATCCCTCCCTGCCCCCCAAAAAAAGACAGATGGACGTCTTTGGTCCCTGTAAATATGGTCTCCATGCACACATAAATATGGACGTCAGTTTCCAGCGTCACTGCTCACATGCTCTCATGCGTTCCTTACACGTGGTGTTGTTGCCGGGCTCCACATCTGTCCCTGATAATGTATCAAATTAGACCTGTAAGAAACACAAAGGACAGACAGAAGGCTCCGTCTGTGACCCTGACGTGGATCAGGAACTACAGTTTGGACGAGTGTTGGTCCAAATTCTGGAGCAGCTGATTGGTTTATCTGAAGAAATACCGTATCCATTCAATCCCATTTCCTGGCAATTACGATATTTGAAACCCTCAGTCGTTGAACCCACGTGATTGGATGATATGGAATGAGTCACTTTTGTTTTTCTCCTGCCCCCAGCGTCACTGCTCACACCCATGTCCAATCTATCTGGCCCATGTCCAGTTTATCTGGCCCATCTCCCGTCTATTCAGTGGTTGGCTCGTGTGTAAGCCTTTTAGCCAGGCTTTCTCCACTCTGTTTCTCTTGCCCTCACAAGTATCTTGTATGATTGATTAATTGCCCTGGCCGTGTCAGGGTCAGTGTTTCCAGGCAACACCCACTACTGGTAGTTGACAGGAACTGGAAGCGACTGGCAGTACAAAGGTTTTCTAAATTGTTGGTCTGACTGAAAAAAAAAAACCAAACCCCACAGATCAAGGATCATAAACAAGCACATCAATTAGCCAAATTAGCTTCTCCAACAAGGGGCAGGGTTTCCGTCCTCGTTGATATTGTGTGGCGTTGAGCAGCGTTACTGGGGTAAAGGTGACAATGTCGGGGTGACTGCGTCGTCTCACTCAGATCTGTCCACACGGAGACACTGTGAGACCCCATCAGAGGATCTTGACCTCTGGTGATCTGCAGTGGGTCAGCCAGAAAAGGCTTGGGGTCAGGGGTCAGGAACCATCACTGTAACTGTATAGAATTGTTTTTTATTATTATGGTCAGCCAGAAAAGGCTTGGGGTCAGGAACCAGCCCACATCATTGTAACTGTATAGAATTGTTTTTTATTATTATTTCTTAGTAATGTTTGGATCTTTTTTTTATAGTCTTTAGATAAAAACTACAGTCATCTACAGTTTGTTGTCATGTGACTACAGGTCACCGTGGTTTTAAAGCTGATTAATAAAAAAAACTGATACAGTGCTGTAGAATAATACTGTCTAGAGAAATGAAGATTGCAATATTTTATTCTATCAATATTTTCTCACACTCCTACTGTCGACACAGTTCCATTAAAACCCAAATGTTTCTAAAATGCCTGATGACTTATCATGATCCGTGACTCACGGCCTCCGTTTTTCAGCTTGGACGGAGCCTGGAGTTCTCCGACTGTCGGTCGGAGCCTGGAGTTCTCTGACTTTTTTTCTTTATCTTGTTCCTGTCTGTTCCCCCACAGAGCAAATCTTCCAGAACCTTCGACAGGAATACAGTCGGATCCAGAGGCGGCGGCAGCTGGAAGGAGCGTTCAACCAGAGTGAAGCCTGTAGCTCCAGTGACGCCCCCAGCCCCAGTTCATCCCCCCACCCTCCCAGCTCCCCCCCAGGTAAATCCACACACTGCAGGAGTAGATGCATGGTAGATGATGAGGACCAGGACGGAAATACAGACAGAGGGAAGTCTGATGGTCGAGGAGGCCTCAGGTGGTCTCCGTCAGGTGGTCTCCGTCAGGTGGTCTCCGTCAGGTGGTCTCCATCTGTTCAACACCTTCAACCTTGTTGTTACGTTGACTTCTCCAGTTTTAAACGGTGTCCTGCACTGACTTGTTTTTAGGTTTCACTTTTGTTTCCGTCTTGTCTTTGTTTTCATTTGAATTCTCAGCGTAAAATGAAAGTGAAGCCGAAAAGCCCTTCACGATCCTCTCAGCCCAGAACTCTGAAAACAGTCCCACGTCTTTGAACCACACAACGTCACCACAAAACAAAAGGCATTTTACAGAACTGTAGACTGGACACCTGGGATGATTGACAGCAGGACACACACACACATACTGTACATATAGACTCAAATATATAATTATGACAGAGACACAAACACATGACACGTGTCTCTTACTGTGCAGTAACTCAGCCGTGCAGGATATTTAAGATGCCTGTGGTCAAAGGATCAACCTCTGGTTCTCAGTCCCCGGCAGGGCCGTTGTGTCTTGGTCCTCTGCACCCTGTTTCACAGACACCGTCCAAATGCAGAGGACACTTTGTGGATGTCCATTCTCTACCACTTCACTCTTTTCAGGATTGCAGAGAAGCTGGAGCCAAATCCCAGCAGTTAACGAGTGAGGGCGGGGTCGCACCCCAGACAGTTGGAGGAATAAATGTTGTTATTGTTTATGATGACAAATTAAAGTCTTTAAGGTTAGTTTGTTACTCCATTTAAAATTATTGTATGTGTAGAGACTTTTTTTTTTTTCTCAACGCATTTTTACGCTGTGTCCACACACACAAAAAAAACCAAACCCCCACTCTTGAAATGACAGCTGCTGTGTATTTGCTGCCGCGCCTCTGCAGAGACATCGGTTCCTCAGTAACAGAGGAACTCTTTGATGTTTTGAGCCATGCTTATGCAGGAGAGCATTCATTTGGAACTGATGAAATCTGCATCACCAACTGGCCTTTGGTCCCAGACAACAGTTCTTGTTTCAGACTTCTTCTTTTTTTGTTTGCTTTGTCGTAGGCTCCTCAAGGAAGGACCAGCCCTCGTTCACGCTGAGGCAGGTCAGCTACCTGTGTGAGCGCCTGCTCAAAGACCACGAGGAGAAGATCCGGGAGGAGTACGAACAGATTCTTAACACAAAACTTGCAGGTAAAAGTCACCGCCTTCACAGTTGACGCTACATGTCCCCACACTAGCCTGTAGGTGGCACTGTACGTTATATTCATATATATTTTAATGTAGTCAATGATGTTAGACCGTTTTAACAAAAGGAAATTTTATTGTTGGATTGTCTGGAACTAAGTTTCAGGTGGTCTACTGTAAAATGATTTTTTCCTAATGTTTATTTAATTTACTTTAATAAAAAAAAACCTCAAATCTAATCTGACTTTAATTTTGATCTGATGTCTTTTTAGAACAATATGAATCTTTTGTGAAATTCACACAAGACCAGATCATGCGAAGATACGGAGCCCGACCTGCTAGTTGTAAGTCTTTTTTTTAATTTCAATTTAAAGTCATATTTGACTGCCGTCTCCCCCGCAGGGGTAAATAATCTAAGGTTGAACTAATGAGTCCTCGCCCGTTGTTTTTCCAGACGTCTCCTGAACTCTTATGGACTAAGATTCCGACTTCCTGTCACCAGACGGCTGCTCTGTCACTGGCCCCCTCCACCTTTTATTTCCCTCTCCTTCTCCATCACAATGTCGGGTGCCATGGTTTATCTTCTCTGTTTTTATTTACTTGAAAACTGTCATCGCTGGCCAAACGTCAGAATCTGAAAGAAGAAAAACAATGTTTGAGGCCTGTTCCTTTTTATTAACTTCCCCGTCTCCCCCCCCCCTCTCCCTCTGGTCTTCCTTTTTTTATATGCTCCTCCATTAAACTCCTTCTAAACGCAGACCTGAGACAAAACTGTGCCAGTGCTGTAGAAAAAGCTTGTTGGCTCAAATCGTCACTCTGTAACCTTCCAGCAGCTGTATTTAATATTTCCAGCCCCCCACCCCACTCCACCATGTTCCTGCGGCTCGTGCCCACCCACCCCTCTCCTCCTCCTCCTCCTCTTCTTCACACCTCTTTACTCGAATGTAGATTTTGAAAAAATAAATAAAAGTTCTGTGATTAACCTCTGTTGTGTAATAGACGATTTTATCAGTGTGAACAGGATGTTCAACAGACGGTTTCACCAAAACACACGTTAATATTTATTGTTATGATGGCAGAAATGTAGTGCATGAAGTTTTAAATACTGCAGTGATACTATAGGTTTGTGTGGAAGTACAACATATAACCTGTTATACCACAGAAAAACTGTCTACAATCAGGTAGTGATCATTTCAAACACGACAACATTCAGTATTTGGTATATAAAAAAATACATTTTTTATTTAGCCACTCCATGAGAGCCACATGTGGCCCCGGAGCCACAGGTTGCGGACCTCTGCTATAGAAGGTAGACTATCAAACATAATATGTAGCGGTTAGCCTGCCTGCGTGTCTTGCAAACAGAGAGAGCAGAGAGTCCTGGGTTAAATTCCCAAAGGAGACACATATCCCTAATGGCTGTCTGTGTCGGTTCCAAAGACTAAAACTGTAAATTTCCTAAATTCGGGATGAAGAATGGACCCAGTTATTATTAATGTTTAAGTGTGAGTTTTAAAATGTACTTTATTTCAATATTTATTACTATTTATATTGTTTTATTAAATAATTCAAGAGAATGAATTCAAATGTTATTTATAAGACCCGCCCCTGGAAGCTGTCACGGCTGGGGCGCCACCCTGTGGCCTTTCAACAAGCCTTCTGTTTTGCCTGATTAGGTCCATCAGTCTGAGGAGGCGCAGCTGGAGGTGGCAGAGTTAAAGATGCTAAGATTCTCTTTAGGAGTGACAAGAATGGACAGGATCAGGAATGAGGTCATTAGAGGGACAACACAGACAGGAAGGTTTGGAGAAAAAGCTAGAGTAGAAAAAAAAATTTCAAAATTTTTTTTTCCCAAAATTCTTTTTCAAAAACGAATTTTCAAAAAAAATTAAAAACAATTTTTTTTCAAAAAAAACGACACAGACAGGAAGGTTAGGAGAAAAAGACAGAGAAGCCAGATTGAGATGGTTTGGACATGTGCAGAGGAGGGACAGTGAATACATTGGTAGAAGAATGTTAGAGATGGAGCTACCAGGTAGGAGGAAGAGAGGAAGGCCAAAGAGGAGATATATGGATGCAGTGAGGGAGGACATGCAGAGAGTTGGAGTCAGAGTAGGAGATGCAGAGAACAGGGAGAGATGGAAATCAATCATTTGCTGTAGGTAGTCCTGAAAAAAAAAGGAACAAAGCCGAAAGAAAAAGAAGAAGAAGGTCCAGCAGTCTGGTTCCCACGTAGGAAATGTTGACTTTTATACCATCTAGTGGTAAGAATACGTAATGCAGAATTACAGTTACATTGTTTGGAATTACAGTTTCATTATGACATTAAACCGCAGGTGGTCGTCAACGATGCTGCGTTCACTGTCACTGGTTCTTCTCCCACCTCTTATTCAACCGTCCAAAAACATGACCAAAACCAACCAACAAACAAAAAGAAAATGTGTTTAAAATAAATGAGAAAAAAGTTTTTACATTGTTATCAAAAGCATCATATTCTATACTATTGTTTTACTGAATAAACTATACAAACATATTCTTTGACAGACACTCGTTTACATCAACAATATTTTTACATTTGTGCACAAATATATTCTATTGTACTGTAGCTTTAAACACAGCCCATATTATTTGTTTACATTCTTTGTAAAAGGACAAATGTATCCAAACTCACCCTCCTCGGTGTGAAAGACGTGTATGTGTGTGTGTGACGTCAGCCCAGGTGTGGCAGCGGCAGCCATGCAGGAAGCAGGTAGACTGTGATGGCTGCAGACGGTCGTCATTGTTCGGGGACAGCTCGGAAGACGTGTTGACTTTTTTTTGTGAGAGGCAGAGGGAAGTGGAGGAGAAGTTTGTTTGTTCAGAGGAAGGAAGTTTCCCGTATGAGAAGTAAATGCCGCGGCTATAATTATCTCCCCGCCCGCGTGTGTGTGTATGTGTGTTTTTCTTCGCTACCACGGACAGTGGGATTTTTTTTTTTATGGTTTAGACGAATCGCCCGGGAACATGGAGGATTCGCCTTAAAACTCTTATGGTCAGAGTTTTAATTTACTTTGAATCCGACGACAACGGATTTTGTGCTTCTATAGATTCAGGATCGTCCGGATTGATCTGGATTCTTCCCGCCGGTGAAGAAGGTGAGTGAACGCCGTTAAATACTACATATTTAATGTAATTAACTGGTACTATTTCAGTAGATTTGAGCGCTTTCAAACCACCATCTTTCTAGTAAACAGGAAACACTAATTGGGAACTAAACGGTATCAGACTGTGACCAACTTCTGTAGAAGACGGTGGTTTATGTCCTCATTTTAACGTTGGACTGTGTTGTTTTTACCGCCGCCATGACGTTTAGCTTTATTTCTATATGTTTGTACAGGGGCGGTCCTAGCGTAAACAGGTTCACCCACCCCTTTAACATGTTTACTACTTTTATTATTACATTAATAAAAAAAACATGTTTACTACTTTTATTATTACATCAATAAAAAAAACTTACTTTTATTTGACACATTGGCAAAAACATTGTAGTAAAAAAAATAGAAATAAGTCACAACAATATTATGTAGACACTAATACAATACTAATACTTGAAGGACGAAGAAGAAACTGCTAAACATTTGTGAAGTTTTAATTTATGGGAAAAATCAAGAAGTAAGACTGGATTTTTATTTAACTTTCTATGTGTAAAGCAGCCACAGACATTAAAAAAATAAATTATGGATGGGTTGCAATTAAAAATAACGTCATTACTTACAGGCTTGTAATCAATGAAAGTGCATCGATTGTATTTTTATCACTTTATATATTTGTCACAAAAGAGTTAAAACGTTTTTAAAATCCAATGACGACTGAATCAATGAAGTTAAACGGCAAAACTGTTTATTTTTCACCTGTTTCTCTGTACTTTTTATCAGTCTACCACATGTACAGAGTAGTATAAACCCACAGTACAATTACAGCTGTTATATTCAACGTTTAAAGACTTTTATTTCTTCTTCTGCGACCTTGTCTATAAGCGCAAATGACACTTAAAACAAATGTCATGAAAGAAGATAGATAGAATGATCGATGGGTGAATCGAATAAACAAACATTCGGGGAGTTCCCTTCGGGGAATTAAGTCGTGCTGTGACATGAAGCAGAACATTTCTGATCGCAGTGTTTATCATACTTCTCTCCGTGGTGTAGGACTCCACCGGTGATGGACAACATAGACCTAGAGCAGCAGGAGCCACTTCCTGTGGACAGAGATGGGAGACGGTTGAAGACGGACCAAACTGACGGCGCCAGGAAGCCGGGCTGCTGTGAGAGGTTCCAGCAGACTGTGTCCAAGTGGATGCTTCCAGAAGACCTACGTAGCAAGTACCTGGAACGAACCAACTGCTGTCCACCGCCCATCTTCATCATCCTCATCAGTATCGGAGAGGTGAGGAAATTCCCAATTTGTGACTCGCTTTTCCACGTTAATCACACAACAAGACAAAGTACCAGAAACAAACAACGTTCCACTGGAGCGTCGCAGTTACAAGTAACAACAAAAATAAACCCTCTTTATGGGAAATAGTTCACATCGTGACCCACTGATCCAGAGGCTCATGACATCGTGTCATATGTTGTTTACAGCATTTAAACAAACTAACGTTCGCGGAGCTTCATGGAAAAGATGCTGTGATGTTGCTTATAAACATTTGAAGATGCTTTAAATGTTTATAATTAAATGTAAAATACCGCTGCCACAGGGGGCGCCATTAAAGATATGTGTGGTTCTAGGTTGTGTTTTTATTCCTAATTTTCAGAAAGAATAACTAGTTGAAGAATATTCTTATCTGTGATTTTCTATTTTATTAAATACTAGATATTCCAGGTGACCCAATGTGAGGTCACAAACCCCAGGTTGAAAAACACTGGATTAAATAATTCCAAGGATTCCAGAAAAACTGGTTATTTATTGTCAGCCAATGAGAGATGAGTTGAGCTCTGTGTTGACCGAGCTCCTCCACATCTGTTTGGAATCGAACCTCACTCTCTCTGAACCCCGTCCATGTTGTCCAGGTTCTTGGGGACCCTCTGGGGTCACGTGTCCAAACTGACTTCCTGTTTCCTCCTCTTTTGTTTGGCTTCAGTTGGCAGTGTTCATCTACTACGCTGTGTGGAAGCCCCAGAAACAGTGGGTGACCCTGGACGAGGGCATCTGGAAAAGCCCGCTGACCTACAAGCCGGAGATGAGACAGGAAGCGTGGCGATTCTTCTCCTACATGTTTGTCCACGCTGGGTAAGAGTGGGCGGAGCCGATGATCCGGTGTTTTCAATGTGATGAAAGGTGGTCAGATGTTCATAGATGACCACAGTGACCTGGTCCTGTGGCAGAGTCAACGTCAATGTGGTTGAACCGATAACTCATGCAGGTTTTGGTTTCCAGGCCGTCAGAGTCACTGAGTCACAGCAGTTGAGTTTGGAGAATGACTTGTTATTATGGAGTCGCTGATTCCATTAGAATAAGGCAGCAGTGTGTTCTGCTGTTTTATAGGAACGGAAGTCAAAAAGTTCTAAGACAAACTAGAACGATCCTAAAAAGAACAAATCTCTTTCTCTCCATTCAAGTCTAAACCAGAGGTTCTAAACCTGTGGCTTCTCGGACAAATGTGGTTCATTAGCTTTTTTTAGCATTAGCCTAATTTAAAATCTTATTTGACCGATGACATTTTTTATATGAAAATACAGATTTTGATGGTGGTAAAAACTGCTGCAGAATTCCAGAGAACGTCTGACACCAGATCACGACCTGGTTCTTGGTCTTGGTCCAAGGTCTGAAATCCAGGTCCTTTAAATGTTCTTTCTTCTCAGATGGTTCTAGATCTAAAGCTGTGTCAATCATTTGAACTGGTTCCTTTTTGAGTTTGGTTAAAAATGTGAAACTGCAGAAACCTCCACACCAGAACAGACAGAACAATCACCCTGTCATTCTCCGCCCCCCCACAGGGTGGAGCACATCTTGGGCAACCTGCTGATGCAGCTGCTGCTGGGAATCCCACTGGAACTGGTTCATAAAGGCTTTGAAGTGGGCATGGTTTACCTTGCTGGTGTCCTTGCTGGTAAGACACCATGGTCTCCTGGTCTCCTCCCACCTCCGACTGTTCTACACCCGGACGTCTGACCTCTGCTGGTCTTCATTTGAACTTCTCTGGTTGTTTGTTTGTTCTCAGGTTCTTTGGCGAGTTCCATCTTTGATCCTCTCAGTGCGCTGGTGGGGGCCTCTGGGGGGGTGTACGCCCTGATAGGGGGCTACTTTATGAATGCAGTCGTGGTAAGAACAGTGTTAACTTTATATTTATTAGGGATGCAACGATACACTCAACTCAAGATACGATTTTATAATGATTTATTTTTTAAAACAAAATAAACTAAAATCCTTTGTATTCACTTTACGCCACCTACTGTACTAGAGTGTGTAGTGTCACGGTATGACCAGTGACTTTTTGAGATAACAGCATACTCCTTACACCTTTATGTGAGATTCATTTTTTATTTCAACTGATGATTGGTGATTTGTTACGGATTTGTACAGATTTTTAATTACATCCCTAATATTTATGTCAACATAAGTTTATAAACTTGTTTGGTCCTGGGTTTTGACAAAATTCTCTTTTTCAAGTTCACGTGTAAATTGTAACGGTTGAATTCCACAGAACTTCCGAGAAATGATTCCTCTCCTGGGAATATTTCGGATCCTTGTCATCGTCATAATAGGTATGTTCTCCTGTGGTGCTGCTGAACATTTTATACTTTATTTTGTTTAAAATATTTGTTTATTTTGTATTTTTTTCACCTAAAGTAATAATTGAACTCTGCTTCCCTTTCACAGTTGGCACAGATTTTGGCTTCGCCTTCTACAGGAGGTTCATGGCTGATGAAGCTGGAATGAGGGTACGATCGTTTCTTCTTCATAATAAAGAATAAAAATAAAAACAGATTCAAAAACATCAACATGAGGGAAAAAACTCAGTCAGTTCCCGGTGAACTTTGTTTATTATGTAATTTAAAAAAGATGATTTTTCACAATTAATTAATATATATAATTCATTACATACATTTTTTTTATTGTGTTTACAGATGAAGTGTTTCATTTATATATATTTTCCTCGTTGACATTTACACTCACTTCTACGTCTCAGGTTGACTGACTCAGATTTTTAGTTTTATTTTTTTCCCCTCAGTCCTCATTTGTTTTGGTTGTTGAATCAGTCGCTGCGTTTCGTTTGTGTTCACCACACGTGGCTAAAGCTGAGGGTTTAGTGCTGAAACAAGACCACAGGCTGAAAGTTTGAAGCTGACCTCGTCTCCTCTGACCTCAGGTGTCCTTCGTGGCTCACTTTGGAGGAATCGTGGCCGGGATGACCGTCGGCTACGTCTTCTTCAGTGCTTACAACATGAAGCTCCTGAAGGACCCACGCTTCTGGATGTGTATAGTGGGCTACGTCCTCTTTGTCCTCTTCGCGGTGCTTTTCAATATCTTTCTCTCACCGGCGCCATAGCTTTAGAACCGAGGGAGGAGCATCACAATTATTTTGTCTTACTCGTTGTTTTTTTAAAGAACAGAAAGGTTTTGTGAAACTTTGTTTGTTTTTTAGCTCAAGCAAAGAGCGCCCCCTGTAGCTTGATTGAAGTCAGTTCATTTAATGTGTCTTTAAATTCTTTTGACAAATATGAAATTTACTGTTACTGTTTTGAATTTTTGTTTTTTTTACATTGAAATGCAGTTTAATGTCCAGATCATTTTAAGGGTCAGGGATTGTTGTTGTAAACTGAAGTGTGTGTTAATCTGTGGATTTCCAGTGTTAAACATAAACTTCACCTGGTGCAGACCAACATTACATCAATGTTTTTTTAACAAAAATATTTGTGGGTTAACATGTTTTGTGCCATTCTTAGGGTCCCGTCTCACAGTTGTAGAACCACTGTTATGGAGTGATATATTTTTCTAAACTAAATCTACATCACATACAATCCACAGCTTGAAATGAGTTCCATTTACTGTAAAATAAGTCATCCATTACTAAACATTCGTGTTTAAATTGTTTACACATTTCATACCCACCTTTCTTTTTCCTTGCCTCTATAGTGCCCTCCAGTGGCTGTACCTCAGACGTACTTAAATTACTACAGCATTAAACCAAGTTGTATCTCCACGGTGTCACCTGTAACCCCCCCCCTTCACTCCCACCTGCAGGAAACTCTCCTGTTACCATGTGCAGACGTGCTGTATGAAGTTGGCCACCAGTGAGCGCTCTTCTTTATTGACACAGATTTATAGTAAATATAGTAGCGTAGAGTGAACGAGGCCTGGTGCGATTCAGAGCGGAGCAGCGGAGTATGAAATCGGACATGATGACACATTGATCATTTCGCCACAGTAGCACGCGGCGGTACGTATTGACCACGCAGACCCCGTGTCAGTTAATGACCGGTATTGACACGGTGGGAACTGTGGTCACAGCATCTCTTTCCTGTTTCCTCCTCTGGGTTCATGTAAAGTTAAACTGTGACACTGTTGTCAGTACGATCTCATACTAAGTCCTTTAATACGGTTAGTTTGATCCCAGCAGCCTGAGTCCACAAAGCATTTAGATACTGGTCCACGCCCCAGTGTTTTGGCCACCTCTGCTGTATAGTGTGGAGTCCATCCTCGGTCCGGCTGCTGAGGTCAGTGCTGGGGTTAAACCCCAGCTACAGCAGCATCAGTGGGGGCTGTGATCTGAATGCACCAGAGGCTGCTGGTATCGATCTCCTCTGGTCAGAGCTGCTCTGGCACTGGTTCCTGCAGAACGACTGGTTGGATGTTTTCGCTCGGTGTCCGACGACGACGACAACAACAACAACAATGAAGCAGCGGCAGGTGGCTGGAGTTAAGGTGGTGTACGAGGCCTCATGTGGAAGGAGCTGACAATTTTCTCCCAACTCTTTGGTGACCACTTCTGGGCCGCATGACCCGAGGAGATTTAAGTCACCACAGGCAGTCTGTCCATACTGCTGCAAGGTAAGTGAACGCCACACGGAGGTCTGCTGCTGTTTGTCTGCGCGTGTATATATTTGTATTTATGTATTTTATTTCTGTCCTGTGGTCCCAGAGGAGAGGTACTACATTTTTAGGGCAGAAAGTAATTGAGAAACACACTGCATTAGTGAGCTGCACTTCACTTCCTTCACCACCAGGCCACCACGAAATTAAATTCCATCCATCCATTTTCATCCATTTATCTGTTACCGGGTCGCGGGGGCAGCAGCCTCCACCCAAATCACATTGCATCGTACCAACCCCCATGAACCTGTACCTGAGTCCACTGGAAGGTACCAACTGCCCTAACCGGGATTCGAACTTACCCATGAGGTTAACCCTGGAGGGGAACCCACACCAATGACAGAGACATTGCCTCTGGGCCAAAGCGCCAATAGAAATTAAATGTTTGGACAATATCGGCAAAAAGTTAATAAACTGCAGGTCACCATCTTTAATTTCTCCTGTGTTTTTTTTGTTTGTTTGTTTGTTTTGTTGTCAGTCATAATGGCAGAGTGAAGATGGGGGACTGGAACTTCCTTGGGGGCATTTTGGAGGAGGTACACATCCACTCCACCATGGTGGGAAAGATCTGGCTCACCATCCTGTTCATCTTTCGTATGCTGGTCCTGGGGGTGGCGGCGGAGGACGTGTGGAACGACGAGCAGGCCGACTTCGTGTGCAACACGGAGCAGCCCGGCTGCAGGAACGTGTGCTACGACCTGGCCTTCCCCATATCGCTCATCCGCTACTGGGTGCTGCAGGTCATTTTCGTGTCCTCGCCCTCACTGGTCTACATGGGCCACGCCCTCTACAGGCTGAGAGCACTGGAGAAGGTACGGCAGAGGAAGAAGGCCCTGCTGCGGAAGGAGCTGGAGTTGGTGGACTTGGAGTTGGCCGAATCCAGGAGAAGGATCGAGCGTGAGATGAAGAGCCTGGATCAGAGGAAAGTCAACAAAGCCCCACTGAGCGGCTCCTTGCTGCGCACGTACGTGGCCCACATCGTCACTCGCTCCGTCGTGGAAGTGGCCTTCATGACGGGCCAGTATCTCCTGTATGGTTTTCACCTGAACCCGCTCTTCAGGTGCGAGCGAGATCCCTGTCCCAACGCTGTGGACTGTTATGTTTCTCGACCCACGGAGAAAAGTGTCTTCATGGTGTTCATGCAGTGCATCGCTGCCATCTCACTCTTCTTAAACGTCCTGGAGATCCTGCACCTGGGCTACAAGAACATCAAAAAGGCCATCTTGGACCTCTACCCGCACCTGAGTGATGAAAAAGATGAACTTAACGAGTACCTCGCTCAGAAATACAAAAAAGAATCCGTTTGGCAGGTGTACACAGGGGGCGCCAGAAAAGCCACACTGGCCTCCAAGGCCAGCGACTACAACCTGTTGATGGACAGGGTCCAGAACACGGTGACGTTCCCAGACCCTGTGGAATCTTTTCCCTCCGTCCCCGGGGAGCAGACCCTGCACCAGGATTCAGATGATCTCAGAGCTTCGTCTCAAAGCCCCCCAGGACAAAACGGTGGCTTTCCTGACCACCAGGCCTGTTCAACACGCTGTGACTCCTTCGCTCCCAAGCACAGAGGTGAGGACGCCTCCCAAGAGAGCGTTGACAGAGGCGTCCCCGTTTCACCAAAATGGCCACTGAAGACAAAAAATGTCGCCACCCTCCCCACGCTGTCGGAAAATGTACAGAAAACATGGATGGTTCAAGAATCTAAATTACTCACAGTGACTGAGGGGAAGAACTGTTCTTCTTCTGGGGGACCTTCATCTACCTGCGTGTGGTCAAAATCCAATGAGAAACATGGAAACCGGACTTGTAGCCCAGAGGAGTCCAGCTCAGGATCAAACGCAGCTTCCTGTCGCTGCAAAACAACGGTTTCAAGTTCCACGAGCAGCAGACGAGCTCCAGACCTGAAGATCTGACACTGACGTCACCCTGGATGTCACTGCTCCAACGGCAGCTTATAGTGGAGTTGTTGATAACTGCCCTCTGATACTTGTCTGTTGTCTTTAGGGGTAACAGTCAAATGAATAAATAAATAGAAAACAGGTGGCAAAAACAAACATGTCTTTAGATTTTCCCTCATTGTTCTACATTCACAGACTCACGGTACAAGTTTAGACTTTAGTCACCTGGTCTATTATGTCCTGGCTGCAGTGTTTGTTTACCAGGATGGTAGGTTACATTAGCTCTGGTGTCTGTACCAGGACTGTTGTAGCTAACGTTAGCTCTGGAGTCTGTACCAGGACTGTTGTAGCTAACGTCAGCTCTGGTGTCTGTACCAGGACTGTGGTAGCTAACGTTAGCTCTGGTGTCTGTACTAGGACTGTTGTAGCTAACGTTAGCTTTGGTGTCTGTAGAAGGGCTGTTGAGTTTTCCAAAGTATCACATGCTATAACGTTAGCTTTGGTATCTGTAGAAGGGCAGTTCAGGACTGTTGTAGCTAACGTTAGCCATAACTGAAGTCTTACGTACTAGAGTTTTCCAAAGTATCACATGCTGTTCAAATACATCTGAGCATATCAATTAGCCGATAACACAGAAACACAAATACTGCTGGTCCCGTGACTGATGTCCTGTTTCATTTTGACTCCCTGAGGTAATTACCAAACAATAATAAAGTCTAATAATATCTGGTCCCAGACGTCTTTAATTGACTGTGTGTTTCTGTCTTTACGTCCAGAGAGCATGGACTAGTAGAAGACAAAGAGCTACTGACCTACTGACGGAGTCAACATTCAAATTCAAACCCCTGTCCCACATTTGGTCACAATAGTAACAAGGATCACAATTTAATAAATAACAGGTGTTGGGGTTAAGAGGAATGAGATGTTTCTAATCTGTCTGGGAATATTTCACTATGAAACTTTACTGAATTACGCTGAAGGTAACAAACCAACAACAACAAAAAAAACCCCAACAAAAACAAACATGCATGTTGACGTCCTAGTTGTTCAGTAAAGAACTTTATATTTAGAATGCGTACACACTATAACTCACACAACACAAGTGACTTATTTAACAAAGAAGCTTCTGTACATTTCTGAGTTTTTTTTTTACATTTTAAGTATTTACAAGCCTTAAAAAATAAAGTTTAAATGTGTTCCAGGCCTGGATGGGACATAAACCCGTGACACTGAGGCAGCTTTGTAGTAACATTAACTCGACCAGCAGTTCTTAAACTACAGTGTTACTTGAGCTCCCTCTCGTGGTAAGCGTCTAATAATTCACAAAATCAGTTTCTTCCTCAGATGCTGGACTTGTGTCCAGATGCGGTGGTACAAGGTGACAAAATAGACAAAATAATAAAAAAACCTATTCTTATCATACACACTTCACCCTAAACTATTCAATCATGTTGTGATTCGAGATGTTGAGGTCTACTCTGGCCCTGCTCCGCCCTGCGACACAGGCTGGTAACGCCGCAGCTGCAGAGACACAGAGAAGGTTTGAGTTGTTGCCCACGACCAGGTCTAAAGACTGCTGACGTACTTCAGGTTTACTTTTTCTTTTAGCTCCTTTTTTTCCTCTGTCCGACGTTTACACCTCTGTCTCAGCTCCACGGCCTCCTGCTGCAGCTGCACAAACTCCCCTAAAGCCTGGTCACCGACGTTAAGATGCTTCTTCAGATATCTGGTCGAGTATTTGAGGCGATAATACTCAGGATATTTTGAGAAATACACAGAGAAACAGGGAGAACTACATTTGCAATTTTCTGCAGTAGAGGAGACCATGAACGCATCACTCTCTGTGTCCCAGGCAACCTGCTACCAACAACTGCGTCCCCAGGAGGCGCTAGTGTCAAAAAGGATACTCCAGAGCATCGGTGGGCCGTTCAGGTTCTTCATATAAACAAACGAGAGCTAAAAACGAACACAAATCAACAGTTAGAACACAAACATGGTTTTGGTTTAAATGTAAATCTGCCTGAACTAGGACGAAACCACACCCCCGTGTGGCTGGTATCTATTACTACTTTGGATATACAGCATTCTGTGATCACAGGTCACAGTTATAGTAAATCATACCGTACCACTTGTAAGACTGTCAACTACTCCAGTTTTCTCCAAGTATCTTCGTAACTGTTCCCTCTTGTTCTCCGAAGCCTGCCGGAAAAAAATGGGACATTTTCACTGGAATGCAAGGTTTCCAAGTCATCTAACTTAGTGTTAATATCTAATAACACTTTAATAAAGTTCTAGATTTTATCACTTCATTAAATGCGAAAAAAATACAGTACTTTATTCCAAAATCAATACAATATACCAATAATGTCAAACGGTTATTTGTTAGTTTACAGTACTTTATTCCAAAATCAATACAATTTACCAATAACATGTTAGGGAAAATGTCAAACGATTATTAGTTAGTTTACCATACATGAAATGATAATATAAAACGTTTTAAAACAAAAACAACTGCGACGGTTTCCTACGTTAGCTCGGCTAATCTGGCACAGACCCATAGGTAAGATGAGTTGACAGCAGACACACTTACCTTTTGTTGGGCCATGGTGATTATAAATGGATAAGACGACGTTTCTCCTCTGGATGAACTTTAAGTAGTTCGGTCTGTGCCGCAGTCGATACCTTTTTCAAATTGTGCTGCTCGACTGAAAAGTTAAGTTTTATTTCTTCCGTGTGGCCTTCACTGGTTCCTCGTAAAATGTGTTCAGGTTAATCAGCTATAACCGAAGAGCGGCAAAACATTTAAACTGTGAAAATAACTATCGGTAGCCACAGGGAAACCGATGTAGATATTGGAAATACTAAACACATAACTTGTATTTACTATATCGATCCACCCATCAATGTATTTATAATAATACAATAAAATGTTATTGAGAACCTCAAAATTCTCGTTTCCCTTTTTGAACAATACAGAAATACGACGTTTAGAATTACGACACTTTCGAAAGACGCTGAAAGCATCAATGGAACTGTACGGGCTCTCTGCTGCCATCGAGTGCTTATATAATAATGCAGCTGCCCAGTTTAAAATATCGCCTTTTTGAACGCTAATCAATGACTGTAATGTGGAAAATTAATCTGATGTTACTACAAAAGCTCCAAATGTCTCTAACAAACCCGGTAAGAGTTCATTTCTGCAGTTTATACGGGTGATAGGTCACAAAACAAGTCTGCGTACTAGTCAGGTGACTGGGACAAACCACTAAATGAGTGACAACCCAGTTGACCAATCACATCTGCGCTGTGGACGAGAGAGCCAATCAGAATTAAAAGGCGGGACAAAGTGGGTGAGTTTTTTTTTTAGGTAGAGGAAGTCCGAAGGAAATGTGTGGGATCACGCTCTGTGTTTTCCAGTAGTCGGGATATTAAACAAACTACTTTCACTTGGTCGGCTGTAGTTTTCGGAGCACACGGCTGTTCTTCTTATTACGTGTGTGCTGATCGATGAGTTAGGGGGGAGGGGGAAGGGGAAGCGACTGGCGTTGGGTCAAAATGTCGATTCAGTACGATGTGGAGCCGCTGGCTGACAGCTACGGGGTGGCTGACTCGTTCCCCAAAGATTTCGGTTACGGTGAAGAGGAGGAGGCCGACATCGAGGACAGTCCGTCGCCGTCCGATTCCAAACCCAGAATCCTGCTCATGGGTTTGAGGAGAAGCGGAAAATCATCGATTCAGAAGGTAGGTGAGGCGTTCAAGTGGTGGCCTTATCCTCAGTTTATCTCAAGACAGCGGTACGTTAGCCAGAAGAGCTAGCAAGTTAGTTAGCATTCGTGATGAAAGTGGAGAAAAGGAGCCAATTGAACCGACAAATGACAGGTTTCTCTGCGGCAAAGTGGGTGATGGGGTAAAACCGGTGTAGTTCTGTGAGGTCAGGGCGACTGGACCGGTTCCAGTGGTACAGTGGTTCGGTGCAGCTGCAGCAGTGAATTATTAACCAGGTGGACACAGACTTCAGGGGCATCTGTACCGATATGGGATTAGCGAACATGTGACGTGTTTGCAGGTTGTCAACATTCATGAGTGACAGTCGGCTGTGAGCAGCAGGTTTGATGGGAGTGTCACATGACAGCAGGGAGACCACACCTTTAGTTCGGCTCAGAAGTCTCTGAAATCAGTACAGAACCGGCACATTTCACCGGTTATCCAAAACAATTATAATTTTTAAAATTCTTAACAAACACGGTGTATCTGTGGCTTTATCACGATTAATCGTGATAAATCACGAAAAATCAATATACCTTTAAAGGACAAGAACACTTTTTTTATCTACATCTTTGCTGGAACAGAAAGACAAATATCGGCAGGTAGACGTCTGTGTTTTACACGTCAAAAAAACTATTGTTATTAAGTATTAGTACATTTTAGCTACATAGATTTTTGGTAGATTTTAGTGTAAACTGCGTGGTTTGTTTATTTGACAATAATGATGAAAGTTTGATTTTTCATGTCTGTTGGACATGAATTATTTTGTCACTGTTTTTACAGACAAATTCAACTCTAATTATTTTTTATAATGGCAATTATGAGTAAGTCCTAAAATCATTCTTCGTCACTTCATAATAATGTTCTTCTCTAATTGGGACTAGTACTGTACACTCATTGTTGTCCAGTCAAAAACAGGTGATTTCGATCAGTTCCGCTCCAGTGGCCTAAGTTCAACACTGTTCTTACTTTACTGCTGTGGCTTCACTGTGTCCACAAAAATGAGGAAAACGCTGAGTGTGAAAAAAGCCTGGGTTGCGTCAGACCACGGCGTCTGTCTGCTGTGGCGTGACCTTTTTTTTTTCTCTCTCTCTCATGTTTTCCACGTGATTTCTGCATGAAGAGCCAGGCCTACAGTTCATCAACACCTCAACGCCTCTGACCACATCATTTGTAGACCATGTTTTTTCTGTTGACTCAGAACAGTTGAACTTAACCTTTATGTTTGACCCTAATGTTTACATTTTATTTTAGTCTTTACATTTAATCAAATGTTAACATTTAACCGCACTCTTTAAATTTTAACCTCATCTTGGTAAAATATCTCGTACGTTTATTGCGGCCTTTTTAGAAATAATATTTAGCAGAATGCTATATTTATTTATTAATATTTTTTTCAATTCTAATCTTTGCGCCGCGGCAGTATCGTAGCCTACGTCGGTTGTTCATCTCTGAACAGGTGACCTGCTGTCACCGCCGTCTCCTTTATAATGACCCAAACTGTAATTACAGGTGGTTTTCCACAAGATGTCTCCCAATGAGACTCTGTTTCTGGAGAGCACCAACAAGATCTACAAGGACGACATCTCCAGCAGCTCCTTCGTCAACTTCCAGATTTGGGACTTCCCAGGTCAGATCGACTTCATCGACCCCACCTTCGACTATGAGATGATCTTCAGAGGAACCGGGGCGTTGATATTTGTCATCGATGCTCAGGTAAAGACCTGCCACAAGAATCCTTCCTCATTCTGCTCGGTGACAACATTTATTCACCATATAATGCATACAATCCCCTGATTATTAAAATAGATTAATAAAATGAGCTGCAATGCTGCCATCTAGTGACTTTCACTTTCATATACAGCCGTTTTTTGCCTCAAAACTATTTTTAAAGCACACATCATTTCACAGGCCACAGGCATTGTGTTATTGGGTTTTTATTATCGGAGAAAAAAGCAATAATGATTCTTACAGATATTACAGATATCGGTTGGCCGATATTATCGGACATCCCTGAAAGCACCACATTTCGACACTTGTACTTCAGGCGATCTCCTGCTCCCATCACCGTTTTACTTTGCTCTCCCCAGGACGACTACGTGGAGGCTCTGGGCCGACTCCACCTCACAGTGTCCCGGGCGTTCAGGGTCAACCCGGAGATCAACTTCGAGGTGTTCATCCACAAAGTGGACGGCCTTTCGGACGATCACAAGATCGAAACGCAGAGAGACATCCACCAGAGGGCGAACGATGATCTGGCTGATGCCAGCTTGGAGAAGCTTCATCTCAGGTGTGTGTTGTTGGAATGGTTTTAAATGCGGTCGAGGACTTTTCTGTTCTGTCTTCGTCCCAAACTGGAGGAGTTGGTCCGACTGACACTGGTGTTGATGGGAAGTTTCCCTCAGGTCTCTTTATTAACAGACTCAGACACAGACGAGGATCTGCGTTCTCTCTGTGTTCCTGTGAGATTCCACACTGACCTCCTAATGAACAAACACCGACACAGTCCTGACACCAGATACTGATGACAACAACAACAACAGCAACAACAACAATAACAATAATAATAATAATAAATATAACAATGAGAATATAATACTACTATTACTTGTGCTACTAGTAATAGTACTATCCTAATTATATTATTATTAGTGGTAGTATGCATTAATAATAATAATACTTAATATTATTAATAATAATGTTGTATTTTACCTCTTGTGTTTCAACATTTAACTCTTTTGGCCTTACAGAACTAAAGAATTCCACAAATGGAATAAAACTGGTTAAAATGTGAAAATGTCTGATAATAATTCCATTCATTTTAACTGTTGATTGTTGTTGTTGTTGTTGTTGTTGTGATGTCATACTAAGGTTCACAGGAAACAGAAACACTTGTGACCGAGATTATTAGTTGGATTAAGTGTCCAACACATCCACTAGGCTGACTGACTCGCTTTTACCTCCAAACTTCACGCAGCTTTTACCTGACGAGTATTTACGACCACTCCATCTTCGAGGCCTTCAGCAAAGTGGTGCAGAAGCTCATCCCTCAGCTGCCCACTCTGGAGAACCTCCTCAACATCTTCATTTCTGTGAGTAGACCACATCGGGCCGAGGGTCGGTGGAACACGACACAGAGTTTGTTACCGACACTGATCAAACACGACGTCACATTTACTGGTTTAAAGTTATCCTGAAAAATGTCAGAACCAGACTTGAACCCTCCTCCTAATCCTTGTCCTCCTCCTTGTCCTCCTCCTCCTCTTCTTTTTCTTCTGTCAGTCCTCCTTTTCCTCCTCCTCTTCTTTTTCTTCTGTTGTCCAGAATTCAGGGATAGAAAAGGCCTTCCTGTTCGACGTGGTCAGTAAGATCTACATCGCCACGGACAGCTCCCCCGTGGACATGCAGTCGTACGAACTGTGCTGTGACATGATCGATGTGGTCATCGACGTCTCCTGCATCTACGGGTGAGAGTTGGGTTTTACAACAGTTGTTGTCAAACTTTAACGTTAATACCTTAGTGAATATATATCATAATATATACATTACATTAAGATACAGCAGCACTGACCTACACTGTCCACAGAAGACCTCAATACCAAGAAGAGAATTATTTTTTTTCTAGACTTTCTCCCATTGTCAAATCCCTCTGTAAACCACTAGAGGGAGCCAGAGTGTAAGCGTTAATATTAATATGATCACAAAAGTTGAAAGTATTTCTGACATTGTCTATAATCAGTGCCTGATATAAACATGTTATGAAAAGCTAAATATATTTTGCTTTTCATAAACTTAAATACATTCATGTATGCACTTATATTACACTGTATTTAAGTATATGTTTTTTCTTGTCTTTCAGTTATGTTAGGATTTAGTGTTGACCTCCTGTTAGAGCCGCTGACCTCACGTCCGTGTTTTGCAGTGACAATAAAACCATTTTATTTGAGAAGTTCCATCTTTTCTCCAACATTAATTTTTTTCCGTTTCCTACTCTAGCCTGCGGGAAGACGGCAGCGGCAGCGCCTACGACAAGGAGTCGATGGCGATCATCAAACTCAACAACACGACCGTGCTGTACCTTAAAGAGGTCACAAAGTTCCTGGCCCTGGTCTGCATCCTGCGAGAAGAAAGCTTCGAGCGCAAAGGTATTTGTACAAGTACAAAGTTGTAACAAATCATTTGAAAGTGTCTCTTTAAACACAAAATATAAATATTTCAATCTCTTTAAACACAAAATATAAATATTTTAATGAGATATATTTAAAAATATATGTATGTGTATATATATGTATTTAACTTTATTGTTCAAATACACAAATAAACACTGTACATAACTTTAGTTATAATAAAGTATTTGTATATATATTTATAAATCTATATATGTATATATATTTATATGTACATATATGATTATATATAAATATATTTCAAGTTCAAATGGACAAATTAACACAAATTATTTATAGTAACTCTGATCAAACTTTGGTTTGTTTTGATCACAGACAGTATAAAGTGCACACATATATCTGTACATATAAAGTGACATATAAACATGAACCATTCTCTCCTCTTCAGGTTTGATAGACTACAACTTCCACTGTTTTAGAAAGGCCATACACGAAGTATTCGAGGTGGGCGTTTCCACGCAGCGTCCAATGGGGCCCCCGGGCGTGGGCTCGCCTTGTCATAAGGCCGTGGCACTAAACGGAACGCCGCGCAGCACCGTCTAGACACTGATTCACATTTTTTAAATAATAAAAACCGTAAAAATAGGAAAGAGGAAAAGGAACGGCAGAGAAGGACCGGGGAGCCCCACGGAGGACAGACTACAGACCGGGGGGGCCGTCTGTGGGCCCCGCCCCCCCAGACCACAGACCACACTCTGTGGCTCCCTGAGCACTGACAGGAGGAGAAGGACGCTGCAGCACTGACGGTTCTCCGACTCCTCTTCTGGTTCACACGGAGGAGGAGGTCCAGCATTTGTTCAGACCAGTGCTCCTACACCGTGACGGCTGTGAGGAACCGGGACAGAACCGGGAGTCTGACCTTTTTTTTCTTTTGGACTCGACCCACGTGGTCCAGACTGTAACACTTAGCTGCTTGTTTCTCTGTGTGAACAATGTGAAAAAAAAAACAAAAAACAAAAAAACAACCGACCATAATCCAAACCTCTGTGACTGTGGAGACAGTTTGAACCTGAACACTGATAAAAAACAACACTGATGGATGTGAACCCCTGGTCCTGGTCCTGGTCCTGGTCCACATGTGTTCATAGACGGCCTTATGTACAGAAGACGAAGCTTGGCTGCTGTTCAAGCTCTCGCTCTCTTCACTCTTTCTCTCTGTCTCTCCCCCTCCCTCCCCCACCACCACTCGGCTCATATCACCCAAACCCTGAATGCTGCCCAAAACGTACGTTTTGGATTTGTGTCAGAAGGGAAGTCTAAAAAGGGATCGAACTGTCGACATGACGTTTGGCTGTGTGTGTGTTTGTGTACGATACTGTGCAAAAGTTTGAGGTACTTTTAGAAATACACTGTATACACTCTTCTTCTTTTTGGCATCCCCTTTTTTTTTCTTTCCTTTTGACGTGTTAAACTCAAATGCAGAGAAGCAGAAGTTGTCACGGGTTGAGCACAACAGGAAACCAGTCTGTTTCTCCGGCTGATCAGGTCCGGCAACCCGACTGCCTCGCGAGTGAGGCAAGGCAGTCAGCAGCTGCGCCGCCGTGCCTGTGGTCCACGCCCCAGATGTTTTATTTTTAGAGAAAAGACCTAAAATGCTGTTCTGCAGTTTAATGTTGTTAAGGACAAAAGTAGTTCAAAAAAAAAGAAAATGGCCGCCTGAAACTTTTGCGCAGTACTGTGTGTGTGTTGATGAGTCTCTGTGTGTGTGTGTGTTTGCTCTGGTAATGGACCATTCAGAATTGTTGGTTTGTCCTATTTGCCAATTTAACTGCAGGTCGGCAGAATTATACTATTAATAAAAAAAATAATAATTTAAACGCTTTGTCAAAAATCTAAACTTTGATCGAATTTCTATTGAGCTTAATTAAAAATAAATAGAATTGATTTCTTTTAACAAAAAAATTAAAACACTGCAGGAAAAAAAGAGAGAAAATAATCAGTGATCAATAATCTGTTTTTCATGGTATGAAGAAAGTGAATTCACCTCAAACCTCGATGATGTCAAACATTTAAACCGTTTCCACTTTTTTCCACCTGCAGTTCCGTCTCAGGCCAAAAGGGTGCGTTATCTGTTCTTATTTATTCAGACTGTGATCAGCACGACCTCCCAACGACTGGATCTGTGTCAGGCCCGTGAACGTCTGTGTGTTGTCACCTTGTGTTGACCTTTGACCTTAACACTGCTCACTGTCTCAAAATCTGAGGATGTGATCGTGAAACCAATCGAGTTCAGGTTAAAAAACAGTGAAGAAGAAGAAGTAGTGAAACCAATCGAGTTCAGGTTAAAAACAGTGAAGAAGAAGAAGTTAAAAAAAAAAGACTGATTTAGCTGGTGTTTGTGTCACATGACCCCGAGGCTGACCTCTGACCTCTGCTTCACAGAGTTCTGATCTGATCACTTTATGGTCCTGGTTGTGAGGTAGCCAGACTTTGATCCACAAACTAAGAATTATCCTTTAGGAACCAGAACCCGGAATCTTGTCAACAGTTTTCATCTCTAGTCACCTGAAAATAAACATTTGCACAACAGAAGTCGTTGACTGATGATGTCATTTATCTTAAATCATTCTGTCTTAAATGAATAAAAATAAAACATTTGTTATTTATATTGTTTTATATTATTAAGAAATACTGTAGTATTCAAGTAGTAAGTATTCACATCAATAATATTACGCAGCTGTAGAGGAAATGAGCTTTTTGTTGCCAATTGAGGGCATGGACTACCGCAAGATGGCGCTGTTGGACAACCTAAGTGTTAACCCACGTTCACTTTTTCATTTTCGTTTTTTCAGCGTCGGTAAACAGTACAGTCTTGTGTCTAATTTAGAATAAAAGTCAGTTTATAGTTAGATTATATTTGATCAAAGTCATTTTATGAATGACCTTATTAGTGGTCTCCAATCACAGGGTTGCGGACCAGTGCTGGGCCGTGGGTCATATTTGCATTTTATTGACATTTTATCAGTGAGTTATCAGATCTGGAGCTCTCACCAGGAGGGGGCGGGTCCCCCCCCCACCTTGACAGTCCTCCAGTCCATCACAGGGTCACACACAGTTTTCACGTCCGTGATTGGTTGACAGTGAAATATTAACGATAGATGGAATTGAATCTTTGTCTTCTTGCTGTAGGGCAAAATCACTATCCACTCTTCCACCATGTGGTCCCCAAATTTACGACAACAGCGAAGCAGCGTTCAGTGATGCCCCCCTTTCCTCCCCTCCATAATTGTGCTAAAAATGATTTTTAAAAGTGGGTTCAGAGCGTCGCCGTGTCGTCTTGAACCCACTGTCCTCTTCAAGTATAAAATTATCAATAGTGATAATGGCCAGGCAGTAAAGGATGGGGTTGAGTCCATAAAAAAACGCCGTAAACAGCTTTTCTGTGCAAGTTATTCAGCAGTTAAGTTAAATAAGCCTCACAGCTACTGTCACGACCCATTATACGGCGGCGCGGGCGAGACAGCTAAACACCACTTCCACACAATTTAGATGCAATAAAACACTGACAGCTTTTTTATCCACTTCATTAAGCCAGTAATTTCTTCTAAAAATCTCCCGCATTAATCCTGCTGATGGTTTCCTTGCGGTTCCTCCAGCTCTCCTCCGACCGCAGCCACCCGGCTTTGATGCTCACTCAAATAGGCACTAATTTAAGATAAATTATGCATCGGCATGTACCGCAGCCATGCCAAAGAATATAAAGTGTGACACTGTGAAAGATGTAGAATTAAGGGAAAGTGTGATATCGGGACGGAGCGACGGCGACGGCCGAGGCCTGTCGACCCGAAGGTTTGATGAGGAGCGGGTCACTTCATATTAATGGGTTAAAGGAGGTTAAGATCATGAGGTTCTGAAGGTCATTTACCCTCATCATAAATCCACGTCTGTCAGACTGCGGTGTCCACCGGCTCTACAGCGACACCAGTGGAGAAGTGCAGTTTTGCTACTACAAAAAAAACAATTACAGAATTACAGTTTTTTTTATTTTTTTTATTTTTTTAGGTTAGAGCTGTTTTAAACTGCTGTTCATCCAGTGGTAGGAAATGCAACAACATGCTAACACGCTAAGACAACGGAACAGAACTACAGTGAAATAATTTAATTATGTTTTTAAAATTAAATGTTTGTCAAGCGTCTACGTGTATCATAATAATCATTAGTAATATTATTAATATTAGCGAATGAGGCTAGCACCTGTGCAGGTGAACGTGATCGTGTAAAAAAAATTGTAAACAACTGTCATAAATCAGTGTTTTAACTCGGAGGTATTTAGACGTAACTTTGATGTAAACCTGCGACACAGCCGACAGGGGGCGTCGTCCTGATGACAACAGGTGATTGTGGAACTCCTGTGGTTCAACAGGTGAGTCCGAACACGTTAATTACAAGAGAAAGTGTCGCAGTGAAAGGACAAACTCAAGATGGACGCACGAACTCCGGAGAGAAAACTGAGAAGAAAACTACTTTGTTACTTCGTTAAATGTGGGTTTTATTGGACTGGACACCGGGAGGACCCAGAACCACAGCGTGGAACCGGACGACGACGTCTCAGCAGCAACGTTCAACCCGTTAAGATGTCGACAGAGACCGGTAAGTTGACCACGCTGCTGTTCTTCTTTTTTTTCGCTGACTTTTGGCTGAAATATACGCAGTGGTTGAATTCATGTGTTAAATATTCTCGTCTTTCTGAGTCAGTGGTTCTTGTTCGGTGAATGTTTGAGAAACGGCGTTTCTCAGAAAGTGGTCGCGGACCACAGGTGTTCATTAGACGCTCTCTGGTGGTGTGTGTGTGTGAGGGCTGGTCCATAAACCCCCCCTGGTGGTGTTTGAGTTTACATGAGATTCAAAGATGTTTATATTAGCATTATGTGATTGTTTACGTTTTTTTCTCTGTTTGTTGAATTTGTTGTTTTTGTGGCAGATGTTTTGAAACACTGCCTCCCAGCGCCGCCGTGCAGGTACATGTTGTAAAATCACGTTAATGAATGTTAATGAAAGTGTACGTTTATTGATAAAATAACACTGATGATAATTAACAAACATTAATATCATATTCTATGATATAAATGACGTAAAAGAGCAGCTTTACGTCATTTATTTTGTTGTTGTTTGTTTTCTTTGTATGTCAATCAAATTGTTGTTGTTTTTTGTTGGTTGACAGTTTTACGGTAGTTTGAACGATTTACGTCATCTTTGTCTGAAGGAGTTTGTTCTAGAAGGTTCTGCTTCTCTACCGTCACTGTCGAAACAAAAACACGAAATCCTGTACAAATGTATGTTTGTGTGGAAATTGTTTTTACACAATTTGAGCAACTGCAAATCACGCTATTGTTTGTATCTGTGAAACGTATTAATATTTACTGACGTTCTGCCTTAGAAAGGATAAAAGTGGTACAAAATGGACTTGTGAACGGATGAGATTGAATGAATAAATATTTGTATATATTTAATTTAGAATGAAAAATCTATTTTTGGTTTGGTTTTCAAAGCTGTATTAATATTATTATTATTGACGGTGGTGCTAATGATCGAATACAGTCGTTAGATGGCGCTGTTGGCTGCCGTTTGAGCTCTTTGACGCTTGAGTTGTTTCTCAGGCCTCACTGATGTCGACGGTCAAAGACAGAGTATTGCAGTATTACTGAAGTAGTGAAGGCTTGGAGAGGTTTTTGTAGTTACAAAAAAAAACTGCTTTTATTTCATTTCGTTCCTTTTTTTTTTTTTAATAAAGGAGCTTCGCCAATAATGACATGGAAAAAAGATGTACTTTCACTTCCCTGTGATGTCATCATCACTTCCGCCCCCCGCCCTCCCTCCTCCTTCTCCACATTAAATGTTTTACTATTATTACTAGCAGTCATCCAGCCATTATACTCTTAATAAAACTCCGTCAGCGCTGTGCTATCTCTCTCTCTCTCCCTCTCTCTCCCCCCTTTTCCTCCCAGACATTTTATTAGCCGTGCTTATGAGGGACGAGGGGGAGATGAAGTGACTAAGTGAGACATCTGAGATAGGTGACAAATGTAATACAGACTTCATTTGTTACAGTGTAAGGAGATGCAGCTCTGGTGGGTGTAATTATACAGCGTCGACAGCAGCCTGATGCTGCTGAGATGGGCACTTTACACACACTCTGACTGTACTGTACTACAGTCTGTACACCGAGCGGCTGCTGTGGCTGCGGCTGATGAGCAGGTGTCACTTTTTTTTGATAAAGTTCCTGGTGATGTCATAAAGTGACGTGAACAATTTCAGTTAAGAATGATCGGTTTTAAAAAATATATTTGATGGCATTGAAGGCATGAACTTATTTCTCACATTTCTTGCAAACTGCAACCACTGATGCACAAACTACAGCCCAGTAGGGGGCAGGATTGCAACTAATGTCTACAATAAAAAAGATGCACAGAATTTACAGTAAGTAATAGAAGATGAGACCAATGTTTTTTTAATGTCGTACAGATTAAAACGTACAGATTTCTTTTTGTTCTTTAACTTCAACTTTTTTTGTTTATTCATGGATTCGCTGGATTCATTTTTCCAAAATTAATTTGATTGAAAAACTTTGCCTCTGTTGTCAAATACTGGAAATTGACAAATGTGATTAATGACAATTATTTACTTATAAATCTTCTAATTAATCAGACTACATTTTTGAATTTGCATCCCAGTATTTAAAGTGTTGTTTATGGATTTTTACATCAATATTGACGATGTAGTTCCTCTAACTGTCCACACGTCATTCTTATTCTTATTTTTTTATTTTTTTTTACCCCTTTTCTCCACTCAGTCACACAACACAACATAATGACTCTGGCTCTTTTTTTTTTCTTTTTCGTGCCACATAAACAAATTAACGAAGTACTTAGATCAATGGTCCGTTGTGCGATATCGGAGAAGGGGACATTTAATTCTCGCTACACAATTTTGTGACCTGCTGGAAGCGTCTGAGGATGGATGGTTGATAAGTAACTCCGTGATCTGCAGTTAAAACAAAGCAGTTTCCCTGCAGGGATCAATAGAGTTCTCCGTGATCCTGATTACAGTAGCACGCTGCAGATGAGTCTGGGGTTTGATTCCCTGGACAAACGTTCATGTGGCCATGAACAACGGACGATTCTGGAAAAAAAAGACTTTCCAACCAGATTTGCACCATCGTTTTTTTTTAAACAAATTTAATTCTTACTGATCTGTGAACAGCTTCACGGAAGGGAATGCTGCTCTTAGCTGAAGTGGTAAGACGTGCCCGGAGGGTCTCTTCTT